GTGCATGTTGCAATTCTCTCCAAGACACAGAGGCACCTGGGTGGGCTTACACATGCTAATAATAAAGTGTTCACTATTTCCCCCCTTCACCAAGTCTTGGCTGATGGTTTTGTGAGGGTTATAATCACCAACCACTTTGCGGGATCAGGGAGAGGTTCTTAGCGGAGGTACTTAACCTGAGTACCAGAGCTTCACTACAACAGCTTGTACTGTTCTAAGTCCTCCATGATCATTAGTGGTTCGCTGTTACAAGTATTACAGTTTCTCTCTGTTGATAAAAAGGCTTGGAAAAGCTGGACTACTAGAGCGCATGTTTGGCCTTACTACCTTTAGCATAGAATAGCTTAGCACCATTCTCAGAACCATAATTCTCCAGGATAAAGGCACAGGTTGGATAAGGATGATGGGAATTGAAAGTTGGAATGATTGCCTTCTTTAACCCCATTAGGACACATGACATGTGTGACATTTCATAATTCCCTTTTATTCCAGAAGTTTGGTCCTTAAGGGGTTAATCTCTGTTGAACAGAGTAAAATCCTTACTCTGTTTAGGTTTGCCTCTTTTCTAATCTAACATCATAAACGACAGGGTTGTTTTAAACTTCTGTGATATCGACCTAATGGAAACATAATTTACTTACTCTGTATGAATGTGTAGGACAGGAACAAAGGAAGAAGGACACAATTTACTAAATCTTAACGGCACAATCATAACACCAGTGTCTGATGTGAAATGCTGTCTTTTATTTGTCTCCTTCCTTCACCTGAATCAAGTTATAGCCCCCCTTGAAAATCACAGAGTTTGGATTTAATAGCAAAAGGAATTTGATCTATGATTGTAATCCCGTTCAGGTCCAGATAATGGATTAACAGAAGTAAAAATCCCCCATTTTAGTGATAAAGATGACTACCTTTTTAAACGGATCTTGGATGAAAAGGATATACGTATCCAGAGGATCACACAGGGACGCAGAAACATCGAAGGTGAGGATCTTTTTTTGAAATTTGTACTTATTTCTGATTTTTCAATTCTTTATTTCTACCATTCATTTAAATAGAAATGTTCATCTCCTGCTCGGAGTGTCTCTTTCAAAGCAGCCTTACAATGAGGTTTACATTTCCCATAAGCATCCCCATTTAAAGGTGGGACGTTATTACAGAACGATATATGCCCAAAGGTTATGCAATTGATTTGTGTGTGGCTTTATTAGCTACCTTCTGGAGGGAAATTAAATTATCCCCTGACATTTTATTAATTGAAATCAGTAAGGCAGGCATGTCCATTAGAAAGCATTTTTACCAAAGCTTTGGACAGTGCAAGAGTCAGAGAATGTGTGAGTGGAACTGTTATAGAATGGTAGCCTGGCTACCATTTGAAAGTGTACAGTTCAGTGATGTATGCGTGCTATGAGTCAGTTTGTACATGCACATTACATGCTGAAAATTATTATCTTACTAATACAAAGTATACTTATTTAACAATCTTTACTTGAAGAAGATTTTGTCATTGCATAGTAAAAGAACATTGAAATTAATAAAAAAAAAAACAAACAAAACAGACATACAATTTATCTCACTTTAATAGTTTTAGTTTCACTCTATATTAATTCCCCCAGACCTTATATTATTGAGGACCATTTCTCTGTGAACCAGCGTAGTCACCCATGTTTCTTGTCCATGTCTGACCCACGTTGGCCATCTACAGTCGCTACCTCCTGATTTCTACTAGGTCCTAATTGCTTTTTACTCTGTCAAGGATACTGCATCATTATGAAAGCCTTGCGATAAGCTCTAAAGGGAAGGTGGAGCAATAAATAAATAAAATAAGATGTTTTCTCTCTTTTTATAAAGAATAGAGGGTGTGTGAGTGGGAAGTGGGGGGATAATTGGCAAGATAAGAGAGGTGAGAAAGATGAGAGGGATGATGAAATAGAAAGTGTGCACCATGCCGCCAGCCCAGTCCCTGTCTTCCTCCTTAGCAAGTTTTTGTGAAACTGTTACTGCTCTTGACTCTCCTCTTGATCATCAATGGTTGGGTGCCCCATCTTCCCGCAGACTTTTAGATATATGGTTTAGTCAGGAAAACCACAAACTGTATCTTTCTGACTGGCCTCTGACGCCTCGATCTCAGCTACTCTGTCTAATCACATTTTGTGTGTGGGTGTTTCCCTTGACTTCCAGTATAAAGGAATTAATTATTTAGTGACATTCGATAAAAATCGAAGTACAGATTTGTTGTATTTAGAGAGAGGTAACGTGGTTTCTTGCAGGAAAACACTCTCGGGCCTGAACGGTGGCGAGTCCCCTAAAATCTCAGTCACTGTCATGTGTGTATCCTTCCAGCAAGGTTCTATTTTTGGGCAGGGCCGTCATATGTGCAGGTGCGTGTCCTCTGCTGATTCACATCTTCATCACAAAGATAAGCTGTCAGGAAAGACTTTTTCGCATTACTAATTTTTGGTTCCAAAAAGATAAAATGTTGTAATTGGTCTCCTGATGTTTAGTGCCTATCATGCTCTGATGATTTAGAATAAGAATTTTACGTATTCGAGAATGCTGGATATGTGTATGTGTGGGGCTGTTTGTGGAATTGTGTTTATGGCTGATATTTCACATGATGTGTTTGGTGGTGGGGCTGCTTGTTGTTTTGCATGTGAGGCTTCTTGTGGGATTGTTTGCGTGTATGTGGTGTTGTGTTTGTAGGGACTGTGTGTGTGTTTGTGTGTGGGCTGTTAGTATTCTGAGATCACTTCCACAGTGCAGCACTGTGTAAATTGAGGATTGTCCCTTACCATATTTTTGCATTAGCGGATCTCTGAAGTCCCATAGGGACTCCTAATAAGCCAGAGCCTGTTTGGCACAAGAAGCCTTGAGTGCTGTGCAAAGGCACTGATTGCCATAGACTTCTAACCCCTGCTACATAGACATGAAAGTCCACACTGCAGAGTCTCACCCCCCATGCACAGGTCCTCATACACAGATGGTTCCCTATCTGTTTCATGCCTGGCCGAGATGGACTGGTAGTAGTGTGTTATCTGCGCAAAACTGAGTCTATCCATTAGTGTGGGTGTTTGTGGTGTCACCAAGTCTATCAGTTTCCTCAATCCTGGAGGTGAATGGTGTTGGCATTGAAAGCAATCACCTCTTCCCTTCCTAGGAATGTATGCCCCTACACAAAATACCTCAAGGGGCCTAGGGATAGGAGTGATCGCAGTGGTCTTGTGTAGTCTATACCATCATTTTGATGTAAAGTGTATGGGACTCTGTGTGGGAATTGACCTGGGTATAGAGGTCGTTCGCATTCAACTCCTCCAGGGCCAGCCAAGGCTTCTGTTTTTTACGCTACTCTTGCACTCTCAACAGATGTGTGGCATGATAATAATGTTGGGAATGAGGCAGATCTAAGCCTCCCAGTGCTTTAGGAAAGCATAGAGCATTGTGTTTCAATCTTGGGCGACTGCCCTTCTAAACCTATTTTATCGCCAAGCTCCTTAATGATGAACAGAAAACTTGTAAGAGTTCCCTTTGAATGATCTGGAAGAGGTATTATAAATGTGGTAAGACGTTAATTTTAACTACATTGATCGCTCCAAATCCACCTGTATGTTTTGTAGAAGCAGCATATGGTTTATTTGATATAGCTGGAAAGTCTGTTGTAACCCACCCCCAGGTATTTGAATTGGTCTTTGCATCATTTAAATAGAAACAGTCTTGTCAAAGCTTCATTCTTCCCCTGTGGAAATGTTCTTGTGACGTTCTACCCACAAGTAGCTGGGTTACTGTCACCTAGGTCACCCTTACCCTTGTGTATATAGCCATAAGTGATCAAGCTCTCTTTTGCAAAGTGGGTTACGGCCTCAATCAAACACTAGCCAAGACTTAGTAAAGGGTGAAGAACTGTTTTATTGGCACACAATGTCACCTTTTATACCTGGGTCTCAACAGGAGGTCCTCAGGGAGAACAATAGGATTGCAACATTCCCAGCAACTTGGTACCTGAGCTGATAATTTAATTAGCGGCCAAAAACCTTGGCACTGGGGCATGAAATACAAAGTAATACAAAATAACTTTTGTTCCCGTGCACATATCTAGTGTCCCCAGGAAGCTTAGCTCAGAGCACCCACTTAGTCCAAAAAGCACCCACATTGGAAGTGGGTAGCCCGAGTTAGGCGGAAGTTCAAGTTTCAACTGGTTGCAGCTAGCCTCTGATCCAGCACGGAGTTCCAAAGCATTTTGAGGTAGCTCCCGCTCAGGCTCAACATGCCCCAGCAGACCCCCAGCTGGTGTAGGGAGGCTCCTGAGCCACTAGAAAGGGGCGCTGGGCTGAGAGACACAGGCTGTAGAGATAAATGATAGTGAATATAGTCTTTTAGGAGTTGTGGCAGTTGAGGAGGCATGTTTCCAGCCAAGGTGACCAGGTGATCCGTCACAGTTATATTCATCACTTCATTACATACTACATTAGAAATCCTGCAGGGACATTCTATAGACACCAGTACCACTACATTAAGCAGCAGTGTTTCTGGTGACTATAGTGTCTCTATAATTTACAGGTCAACTCTGGGGGCTGGTAGCGTGCTAAGGCCAACTCAATTCTCACTGGATTGTGATCTGACCATGGCATTAGTTCAATCCACGAGGCACTCTTGTTGCCCAAATTTGTAGCCAATTCCCAGGTATCCATTATGGAGAGCGGAATAGACGGTGCAGTCCCTACCGCTGGGAAGTAGTTGTAGTGCTATCATTATTAATGGCAGTAACGTTATATCTTTACTTATAATTAATATAGTTGGTGACCATCATAATAGTGTTATAATTAAATATAATAATCAATAGCAGTGTTATCATTGCAGTGATTATACACAGTACATCATGGTAGTATTAGTGTTATCATTGCTGTTATTATGGAGTAGTATTATAACTGTCATGGTATTGTTATAATAATTAATAATAATGATGATGATGATGGTGGTGATGATGAGCTATTTCCACCACTAAGATGGCGGCCGTCACACGTCATTTTTGCCGGTCAGGTGTTCTCACTGGAAGATTTCAAATCCAATGCCTGGACGGCGGCCGCGCAGGGCCATGCCACTTCCGGCTCCTCCCACCTTACGACATCCCATTGGTTGGAGTGGTGCGAATGACGTCATCAGCCCGCGCTCTCTCTCTTTCTGTGTCTACGCCGCCCGCGAGTCTCCTCCATCCCCGCGAGGTGAGGGGCCCGGACCCGGGCGGGCAGGGGGTCGGGGTGACCCAGGGATGGGCTGGTCACGGGGAGCGGGAGGGGGAGGTTTGGGAAAGGCTCCGGGTGATGGGCTGTAACGGAGAGCGATTATAGGGCTGGGAGCTCGGGGTGGAGCGGATACCAACCCCATCCCCCCCCACACCGGGCTGACTGTAACCGCACGGGAAACGGCAGGCTCGGGACTGGCCTAATAACATCGGGGAGATTGGTAATAATAGGGATAATTCCAGACTCGGGACTGGCCCCATAACATTGGGGAGATTGGTAATTAGAGTGATAATTCCAGGCTCGGGACTGGCCCAATAACATCGGGGAGATTGGTAATTATAGTGATAATTCCAGGCTCGGGACTGGCCCAATAACATCGGGGAGATTGGTAATAATAGGGATAATTCCAGACTCGTAACATCGGGGAGATTGGTAAATAGTGATAATTCCAGGCTCGGGACTGGCCCAGTAACATCGGGGAGATTGGTAATTAGAGTGATAATTCCAGGCTCGGGACTGGCCCAATAACATCGGGGAGATTGGGGGAGATTGGTAATTATAGTGATAATTCCAGGCTCGGGACTGGCCCAATAACATCGGGGAGATTGGTAATAATAGTGATAATTCCAGGCTCGGGACTGGCCCCGTAACATCGGGGAGATTGGTAATTATAGTGATAATTCCAGGCTCGGGACTGGCCCAGTAACATAACATCGGGGAGATTGGTAATTATAGTGATAATTCCAGGCTCGGGACTGGCCGAATAACATCGGGGAGATTGGTAATAATAGTGATAATTCCAGGCTCGGGACTGGCCCCATAACATCGGGGAGATTGGTAATTATAGTGATAATTCCAGGCTCGGGACTGGCCCAGTAACATCGGGGAGATTGGTAATTATAGTGATAATTCCAGGCTCGGGACTGGCCGAATAACATCGGGGAGATTGGTAATAATAGTGATAATTCCAGGCTCGGGACTGGCCTAATATAATCGGGGAGATTGGTAATTAGAGTGATAATTCCAGGCCCGGGACTGGCCGAATAACATCGGGGAGATTGGTAATAATAGTGATAATTCCAGGCTCGGGACTGGCCTAATAACATCGGGGAGATTGGTAATTAGAGTGATAATTCCAGGCTCGGGACTGGCCTAATAACATCGGGGAGATTGGTAATTAGAGTGATAATTCCAGGCTCGGGACTGGCCTAATAACATCGGGGAGATTGGTAATTATAGTGATAATTCCAGGCTCGGGACTGGCCCAATAACATCGGGGAGATTGGTAATAATAGTGATAAGGGCGGGCTCGGGACTGGCCCAATAACATCGAGGAGACTGGTAATAATAGTGATAAGGGCGGGCTCGGGACTGGCCAGTTTACATCGGGGAGATTGGTAATAATGGCAAGCTCGGGACTGGCTGGCTAACATTGGGGAGATTGGTAATAATAGTGATAAGGTATGGCTCAGGACTGGCCAGCTAACATCGGGGAGATTGGTAATAGTGATAAGGGCAGGCTCGGGACTGGCATCGGGGGCAGATTGGTAATAATAGTGATAAGGGCAGGTTCCTGACTGGCATCGTGGGGAGATTGGTAATAATAGTGATAAGGGCAGGCTTGGGACTGGCCAGCTAACTTCGGGGGGAGATTGGTAATAGTGATAAGGGCTGGCTCAGGACTGGCCAGTTAACATTAGGGAGAGATTGGTAATAGTGATAAGGGCAGGCTCCAGACTGGTTAGCTAACATCGAGGAGATTGGTAATAATAGTGATAATGGCACAGACTTACCTGCGCGTGTAATCTCACGGAGATGGGGGGACACTAATTTATGGGTGTTTGCGGGTAATACTGTTATAGAGATTGGGCAGTAATATCGCAGGAGATGTTGCGAGATGGAGGTGTATCATGGGAGATAAAGCGATCTGGTTGAGATAAGTGGGGTTGACCTAGTAATATTTGAGTGGGGTGGGGGGGCAACAGGTGGGGATTTTAGATGTTTTACTTTGGGTTGACTAATTATTGCCAAGGAAGAACTTGAATAGTAATCTTGGTTCCTTGGAGTGAACTCTAGCAAGGCACTAGATATGTTAACATGTAATGATATGTACAAATGATACTCCAGAAATGATGCAGACTTAATACACTGACTATTATGATGGTTTCAGTATTCATACTGTCTGATCTGGAGTGTAGATTAAAATGCTTGTCTTTGAACTATTTTAGGTTAGTTTGGGCAATGCAACCAGCCATTCCTGTTGCAATACTAAGTGTTACTGTGGGTTGTGATCACCAGATGTTGTAGAACTACACCTTCCCATGATGCTTTGAATGCATTTAGAATGGCAGAGCATCATGAAAGCTGTAGTTTTAAAACATGTGAAGATCTACCTTTTGGGCACCGCTGATGTAGGGCACGGTTTCAGTGATTGCTAACATCTGGTATACCAGATGCTGAAAGACTACCGTTCCAATATAGAACACAATGATTTTTAAAACCTGCTGTTTTTGTGACATCTTCTGGTGTTTAATACGATTCACTGCAGATGTTACATTTTGACATTTAAATATAATTTGTGCTTCCTTTTTTGTGTTAGTTGTCATTAAAATTAGCTTGCGTAGCATTGCTCAGTCTTACGCCAATGCTCTGTCATAGGGAAAACTGCGTCAGAACACTAGTTGCACCATATGCAGTGTTAAAGCATATCATTCAAAGGCCGTGCTCATCTGACATCTTCCAATTGTTATGACTAACTTTGGCACTTTTGAAGTGATTTAAATGTAGTAGGGCAGAGTATGACCTAATCTTGTTGTAACATTGCTTATGACTCTCTCTTTCTCAGTTAGTAGTTGTCGCGATGGACTGGCGCCCAGATGAGGAAGGATTGCAGCAGGTCCTTCAGCTGCTTAAAGACTCGCAGTCACCAGACACAGCCACGCAGCGGGTAGTCCAGGATGTATCCTTTAAATTACATTTTTTCAAAAGACCCATTTTTATTTACAGAAATTGAAGGGACAGTCTAAGCAACACAATCACTAACCTTAAAGGGAAAGTCCAGGCACCAAAACAACTTCACCTAAATTAAGTTATGGTGCCAGGAATCCCTCCAGTGCCGATCTCCACCTCTCCCGGGAGAGTGAAGGGCGCCACTCCGCACTTCATAAAACTGCTCCTGTAGCCTTGCAAATGAAAACAGAGTTGTTTACTACAGTGAACATTTTCATAAATTCAAATCCAAAATACATGGATTGTAAAAATTCTTAGTCTGCTCTGATTCCAGTTCTGCTATTTTGGTCTAAAATTCTACATTCAGTTTTAATTTTCATCAATTCTCACTTTATTAAATAACTCTGAGTGTAATTTGTGAGGCACTGTTTGTATATTGCCATTTCGACATGTACTGGTGGCTATCAGACTTATATATTCGTGTAAACATGAAAAGTTTAGTGAATAAACCCATGTCATTTCATTTTATTTTTTTAATCTTTTTATGAATACTGTACTTTTCACCTTTTTTTTTGTTTTTTTGTCTTCTGTGAAATCTGAAGACAGAAATTTGCAACTATTATCGGCATTTATATAACTACAACCTTTCCCACAGTGCTTTAAAAATCTTTCAAAGTGGGAAAGAATAACCATATATGAGACAATTTAAGATTGAGAACCCTGCTCGGACAAGCTAGGGGTATTATTCAGTGACACACTGTGTGCTATAGAGTTTTAAAGTTATACCATAGTGCCAGGAATATAAAGCTGTATTCCTGGCACTACAGATCACTCTGCCTCCCTCCCCAGTAAATAAAGGGTTAAAAACAATAACAATAACAGCAGGGTTTAAAAAAAGACTACTTCAATGAGCTGGGTGGGGGGTGTAGTTTAGTTTATATATTATGGAAGCCTGTGCTAATATTTAAGACCCATGTAATACCATATGAACTGTAGGGTTTTTATGCTCTTTTTTTTTTTTTTTATAATTCTTTATTTTTCAATGACAGTGAAAAAAGTATTGCACTATGCAGTCATATGGCTTACGCAGAAGCCGCACTGTGGTTACAATACAGGTCAAATGTTATCAAAAGGAGGTATATGCGGTGTTCGTATCATTTCATGTGCATCAATTGCATTTGGGATCTGGCTGTCATTGGTTTTGTCAGAATTATACACAGATAGACATAAGTAAAAGAAAAAGAACAAGAACAGTCTAACGGTGATGTAAGAACTTGGCTAACGTATCGGTTCATTGTGTTGGATTTACCATCTAGTTGTGATGGTTTGTCTTTTTACCTTCCCTATTTGTGTTTCATTTTACTCAGTATAGTGTGGTACATATAATGTGGGGTATGGGGGACAAAAATTAAGTTGCTGGGGGGTTGCACAGTTATACAATGGTTCATTTCCATCCATCCCTCTCTCTGCGATGGCAATTACCCAGATGCCTATTGCATATGTAAGGATGACCCGAGCTGGGGTCAGATAAAGTGGTCAGAACCGGTCTCTGTCACTCCTTTTATGCTCTTAATATCTCTGTGTAGAGAATACAGTAGGTATGACAGAGCTTCACAATTACCCAGTTTGTGTATTTGTAAAAAAAAATTTTTTTTTCATGTTTTGCCAAATTGCCACCAATATTTAAACAGTCTACATTTGAGTATAGTGCCCATCTAGATTACGTATCTGTATTTTATTTATGTGCAGCACTGAATATTGTTTGCTGCACATACCACCTCTCACAGGAACTAACTGCTAGACTCCCGTCCTTTACTGGGTGTGTATTTACAGTTCCTTTTTGTGAAATCGATTGATCAATGGAAAACCTTATCTCCCTTGGGTGAAGATCAGAGTTTTTGCTCCTCGTTCCCAGGAGCGCTACAGTACTGAAATATAGTCTGTACCATTTATACCAATATCTGTAAAACATGCACTATATAACTTGCAAAAATATGATTTATGACCCACTCTGTGACAGTTTGTCCTAGAATGATGGTTAACGTTCTGCTCTCACATGATCACTATGTTCTGTTCTTTCCTGCCTCAGATATTGCTGGCATTAATATGCGTCCCATCTTTAGTCCTTTTATATGCTACTTTACTTGTTTGCCTATCTGCCCTTAATATTGCCTCATGCCCACAATCATAAACACAGTGCTTTCCTTAACCCATTCTCAGAAATTAAAACATTTGAACCAGTATCCAGATTTCAACAACTACTTAATCTTTGTGCTGACGCGGCTCAAGTCTGAAGGTTTGTATAAGGGTGATGAGCAGGTAGCTGGAACTCAATCTGGCTTCCTCCTGGCAAAACACCATGGGACATGTGACCAAGCAAGCATTATGGGAGATTGGATTAGATCTGCTATATATTTTGTAACCGTTTTTTACTCTACAAAATAACTGCATATAAAAAAATGCTTGCAAACTCTTGATTATATGTAATAAGGTCTTTTTATTTGCTACATATACTGACGTATATATTCATACCAGTAAAAAGATCATTTTTCTTTGCATTCTCTGCATGCTGTATTGGCATCACCTAACTACAGAAAACAAAAGGCTCACTTCCCTCAATTTTTAATATTCTGTTTATATGTCCCTATATTTAATAAACCTGTATTCTTGTGATTGTAGGGAAATGTTCTAGGTGAGTTTCAGTGTTTTATTCAATAGGGCAATTTCCAGAGAAATGGAGCCAGGGCACACACTACTATTAAGGAGGAGAAATAAGATCTATGCTGACTGCCAGGTACAAAGGGCAGAGCAATGATTGGCAGGGACCTTAGATGGAAATGCCCAGTTGCAGACCTTTATTTTCAAATTTTAATATATATATATATATTTTATCCTTGTGATTATCGGTTTTATTTTTAAATTCATTTGAAAGATTTAGTAAATTACACAGGAACCAGGGCACACATTAGAAGGAAAAACAGAAACCTGGTTGAATTCTTCCTCTGCTCCATGTGCTTTTTCTGTTCAGATTACGTCATCGTATTCTGTATTAAGTTTCCCTTTAATCCATAATATCACATAAAGCTAAAATATGTAATTGTTTACAGTAATCAGTAATATATATACTTACTTAATGAAGTGTGGATTTTTTACTCTACTCCATTATGCAAGTCCCATCATTGTGCTGTCTTCATGGGCGTCCCATTACTGTAAAACCCAACCACCACCTTCGCCTTCCTGTGGTGCTCCAAACAGGGCACAGCTCCGATAACCTAATGCCAATGTGCTGGTTTCATTGATATAAATGGCAATAATAATAATTGACAGCACAAAAGCATCATAAAGTATTAGTAAGTATTCACTATTGCTTGTTTGGGCAGTGGGTACAGATCCTGCAATTCTGCTAGCACTATGTATAAATTCAGTTTTATGCCGTTTAACGTGAGTTAAAGTTTGTGTACCATGAGAGGTATACCTGATGAGCAGAAGTTATTGTCTGGATTACTTATATTGACATTTTGTAGATGAGCCAACACGATCCCTGAGTGGTTTGATCCTGAAGAACAATGTGAAGGCCCATTATCAGAGCTTCCCTCAACCAGTGTCTGAATTTATCAAGCAGGAATGTCTGAACAGCATTGGCGATTCTTCTTCTCTCATCAGAGCAACAATTGGTGAGTGAGCGTCCCTCTCGATGCCAGGCAGTGCACACAGTGTGCTCATTGCTTCATGAGATTGCTGGTTATACTTGGAGCGTGGATGGTAGTCTCCTGGAGGTGATGCAGATATTGATACCTGATGTCAACTGAAGGTTATCGTATTCATACTGTCTGATCTAGTGAGACAAAAGTTTTCTGGTATCCTAGGGTTCATGTTTCAGAAGAAGATCTTTAAAGTGTAGCACTAAGTCAGCATTTCACATCTTGGTACTTCTCTAAAGGATCTCTATTTGGACTTGGTGTGCTGAGCCAGTCATTGCTTTGTTCCTATCTTATCTGGGTTCTGGAACCAGGATTCCTGGGTTTCGAGATTCTACATTGATTTTAGTACACACTGCTGTCCACATTCTGTGATCAGAGTACTGCTTTCAGTGATCGGGATGCCGCTTTCTGTGGCCCACATTAATCGGTGATCTCGATTTCCATTTCCTTTAAGGTATACTTATTACTACCATTGCATCGAAGGGTGAACTGCAGACCTGGCCAGAGCTCCTTCCTCAGCTATGTAACTTGCTGAACTCTGAAGATTACAACACGTGTGAGGTATGTTCTGACCAGTCATGTGTTTGTTTTTTCTCCAGTACTCTGTCAGGAGTTAGTAATTTCAAAACGTAGTGAAGAGAAATATTGAAAAAAACTTTCAAACTAAACTGAATTTCTAGTTTGTGTAGTTTGGCTTAAAATGTTCAGTTACCTCAACTGTCCTCGGCAATTGACTATTTATTGAATAACCCCGTCTATAAGGAGAACTGCTATAGAATATGATGGTTCTTATTATAAATAGTCAGGAATCTATTTTGTCTGTTTGCTGTGTCTGTAGGGTGCGTTTGGGGCTCTGCAGAAAATCTGTGAAGATTCCTCTGAACTCCTTGATAGTGATGCGCTCAACAGGCCCCTCAACATCATGATCCCTAAATTCCTCCAGTTTTTTAAGCATTGCAGTCCCAAAATCAGGTGGGTTTAAACAGTGTCCTTACAATACCTTCTATAAGTATGTGATACCCCATAGCCAGTGTGACAAGTCCTGTTCTCTCCTCTCCCAGGTCTCATGCTATTGCCTGTGTCAATCAGTTTATCACAGATCGAGCGCAAGCACTCATGGATAATATAGACACTTTTATTGAGGTGAGTTCCATGGATGATTCCCAGGTAAAAGGAGTGAACTGTCATGGTTGTGGAAAGTACACAATTCGATAAAACACTGAAAATTACCTGTAACTTGCGTTAACCTTTCTTCTTCATGTGATGCTCTATTTTCTTGTACATTTATATAATTTATGCTAATTAAAGTCAGTCCAGGCACAGCCTCGTCACTCATTGCAAATAAGGAGCAAAAAGAGACGCACTGTTTGAATTCTACTCTTCTCTGTGTGCTGATTGCCAGGTTAAAGAACCAACACTTATAACAATGATTGACATGGATGTGGTGTATTTCTAGATTTCATTTAATATAGAAGATAAGTAAACTTTATGAAAAAAAACAAACAACATTGGAAGTGACCGTTCCTCTTTAAATGATATGGAGATGATGCAGAATCTACTTGCCTGATGTACTGTGAAGGGCCAAGTATTCATACTGTCTGATCCACACCTTTAATGCGGAGGACACCCTTGTTCAGTTGTTCTGGGGTTGTTTTTTTTTTTTTTCTTCCTGGTCTGTTGTGGGTTGTAAGTATTCTGCATTTTGATTTACATTGCAGCACCTTTTTGCCCTGGCAGTGGATGAAGACCCTGAGGTTCGGAAGAACGTTTGCCGTGCTCTGGTCATGTTGCTTGAGGTCCGAATAGACCGGCTACTGCCTCACATGCACAGCATAATCCAGGTATTGAACACTGGTTCTGTCCGCTGCTTGAGATGGCACCCTACTCTCTCCTTGTGAGACGCTTGCAATACTTATTGTTCCTCTTCTCCCCAGTATATGCTGGAAAGGACGCAGGACAGCGATGAGAACGTATCACTGGAAGCCTGTGAATTTTGGCTAACCTTGGCAGACCAGCCTATCTGCAAGGATGCCCTCGCTAATCACCTCCTGCAGTGAGTACAACACACTTTGTATATTCTTGTACAGATTAATACCAATTCAGTACATGGAGTATGGCATGAAGGTGGTCTTTCTCTTCCTTTGTAGATTGATTCCAATCTTGGTGAATGGGATGAAATATAATGAGATTGACATAATACTACTGAAGGTAAGGTTTCTGACAATACGGCTTACGTGCAGTGTGCTCTTACTAACAATGTTTCAGAATGTATTGGGGAGGGGAGCTTTAGTCTCTGACAGTATTATTTACTAAAGTGGAAATTGTTAGGTAATCCAAACTAATTCAAAGGGAATTTTAACTTTAAGGGCAAAATAGCTGAATTGGAAATATTCTCCAAGGCATTTATACTTCCAACAATTTTCACTTTACTGAAAAACCCTGTAAGTTGAATATTGGTTGGTTTTCTTGACATTCTTTATTTTGAATGTGCAGGTATTCATACATAAATTGACCATGACATTTGGTGTGAAACAAAGCAAAATTTGAGGCTGCTAATTAGAACATAGAATGTCATGAGTAACATTCTTGATATAAAAAAAGTGAGTAGGTGAAGCATGTGTAGTTAGAAATAAAAATCAGTTGAGTGCTATAAAATCAAGCATTATGCAGGAGTCAACCACAGGTAAATGAGCAGAGGTGAAGTCCAAACGTTTGGGGTTGCCACAGTGTACCAGAAGGCTGATAGGAACCGCCTGCGCTCTCATCTGATACACGCCTTGCGAGAAGACTGCTGGGCTCTTGGGAGAGGGTTCGTAATCCTCTGTGCAGCATGGTTTGCTTATTTGAGACTTCAAAACTGAGAATCTCCTGGCCTCACCGGCAGCTGCCAACTAGGGAGAAGTGGTTAACTGAGCAGATTTGCTTGGAGGGCTTGAGGTGCGGGCAGGTGAGGTGCTCCCGTGGTTCAAAGGTACACTGACCTGGTGTCTGTACATTGCTGCTTTGCCTCTATGCTGGCCCAAAATCCTGCCAAGATGAGATCCAGCTTAGCACCCCTCCCCCACCGTGAGTTGAATATTTCTAAATCAGACGTTTTGCCTCTTATTATTATTATTATTATTATTATTATTATTATAATATTTTTAGGATTTTGTGTCCTTTTAAAAGCTTATCCAAAATTATTAAATCGAAGCCTTAATTTGCAAAAATGTTGTGTTTAATGAATAACCCTGTTAGAAGGGGGAAAAAAGGGGTTCGTTGAGTAAAGATGAAATATAGTGAGAAGTGGAGTTAGTGAAATCTTTGTAGTTTAAATTGGATCCTGAAGGGTACAGGAAGTAATGAGTGCATGCGTTTAAAAATATTGTGCGCATAGCACACCCTTTTCTAAGTGGGAACTGCAGGGTTTGAAGACAGACATGTGAGGAAAAAAAGTTAAGATCTGACTCAAAAGTAACACTAAGACAGCGAGCTTGAGAGTTAGGGCAATAGGTGTTTAAGGGGGAAAAGATTAAGTTTTAGAAAACTGTTAAACATCCAGTTAGTGATGGAAGAGAGGCAGCTAGTGATGTTTTTGGAAAGCAGAAGAAAGGTCGGGGAGGAGAGGTAAAGCGGAGTATGGTAAGTAAATTCAAAGGAGTTAATAAGGTTACAGAGAGAGGGAGTGTCGGTAAAAATGACCAACAGGTCCTTGGGGGACGCCAGCTGAGACAGGCAGCAGGTAGGAGATGACATTTGAGGAAGAGACACTAAATGAGCATTCAGAAAGATAGAATGAAGACCAGGAAAGCACAGTGTTATGGAGTCCAAGGTTGTGTGGCGAGTAGACAACATTATCAAAGACAGCTGAGAGGTCTAGGAGAATAGGAGTACTGACCTTTAGATGATTCTGTCTCTGCCAGGGGGATGTGGAGGAGGATGAGACTGTGCCGGACAGTGAGCAGGACATTAAGCCACGGTTCCACAAGTCTCGCACAGTGACACTGCAGCACGAGGAAGATCGTGCAGAAGGTGATGATGATGCAGATGACGAGGACGATGACGATGATACATTGTCTGACTGGAATTTGAGTAAGTGTTGGTGATGAAGTGTGAGGGGGATATACAACTGATTGCTCAATCTCTGGAAATGATGCAGACTTGTTTACTTGATGCTCACTGATGGTTCTTGTATTCATACTGTCTGATCCCAGAGAAGAGTCCATGTTAGAGAATATGTAGGTGTTGTCTCAGTTTACTTGTCACTTATTTATTTTACCCTCTCATCTTGTAGGAAAATGTTCTGCTGCTGCTCTCGACGTCCTTGCCAATGTGTTCCGGGAGGAGTTGCTCCCTCACCTTCTGCCTCTTCTGAAAGGTCTCCTTTTCCATCCCGAATGGGTCATAAAGGAGTCAGGAATCCTGGTCCTTGGGGCAATTGCTGAAGGTAACGCATCCTCTAATTTACCCTTATGGCTTCTTTGAGCTTGGAGTGGATTTAGTGGCTTTTTCAAAGTGCCCACCCGTGTACATTTTCTCCAAGTTCTATTCTTCTTGTTTCCAGGTTGCATGCAGGGAATGGTTCCTTACCTCCCAGAACTTATCCCTCATTTGATCCAGTGCTTGTCTGATAAGAAGGCATTGGTCCGCTCCATTGCCTGCTGGACACTGAGCCGATATGCCCATTGGGTCGTCAGTCAACCTCCTGACCTCTACTTGAAGCCGCTAATGACGGAGCTTCTCAAACGCATCTTGGACAGCAACAAGAGGGTGCAGGAGGCAGCTTGCAGGTAGTAATCAGTTCAGGTTGCTAGTCTTTTTAAATTTATCTATCTTGCTTTCTAAGGCATGTGTATGTCTGTATAATCTCACACTCCATAAAACATTTTATTTGCATGTTATGTTGTTGTTGTTGTGCGCCTTTGATGTTATTTACTGAAGTTCTTTAGCTGGTGCGCAAACAAAGTTCTAATTGCTTTTATAAAAATACAAATATTTTTATCTCGGTGTACCCTATTAATTCTTCCTCTGCAGAATAGAATGTTTAGTAAGTGACATTTTATTTTTTTACCCTGTTAGTGCTTTTGCTACGTTGGAAGAAGAGGCCTGCACAGAATTGGTTCCGTACTTGAGCTTCATATTGGATACGTTGGTGTTTGCATTTGGGAAATACCAGCACAAGAATCTTCTGATCTTGTATGATGCGATTGGGACGCTGGCAGATTCTGTGGGACACCATTTAAATCAACCTGTAAGAAATAATTTTTCTTCTTGAGCATGGCCGCTGCCAATGACATTGTATAATTACACTGTTTTCCTTGGTGACTTGGGCATAAAGTAATAGGTGATCCAACAAATAAATGAGTAACCTTGATACTGTAGTTGCTTGTGGCCCACATTTTCCTGTTACTCGACAAGTACAGGATCCTAGAACCTCATTGTTGGCAAAGGCTTTTAGTAAATGTGGTTTATAAATGTGTACATTGCCAGGTTTGTCACTGTAGTAAAACATTCCTCTGGAAGTGATGCAGATATATTGTGTGAAGTTTTCTGATGATTCTTTCTATTCATACTGTCTGATCCAGAGTGTAAAACCAACACTGAGAGCAATGCAGTGGGGATGTCTGCTTCGGAGAGGAGACTCCGACAGGTCTATCGTTTAAAGTGATGGTCAAAGTAGTCAAACTGTAAAACTTTTCTAGATCAGCTATGCTTTCAATTGGGCTACTGTGGCCTCAAATTTGAAATTCACTTTTAATTCTAGTAAATAACATTCCGAGGTTCCAGTGCTTAAGAGGCTTTAGTCGCCCACAGCTGTAATTTAAGGTTACAGCTCTTTGTGCTTATTGCTGGTTAGATGAGCTTGCGCTTTATTGAAAATGAAAATGCCACAACACACTGTTTCACTATGTCATTGTATGTAGAACAGAAGGGTGTGATTTATCGTACTGTGGCCTTAAATGGTTTTATGTGACAAACCCAACATAATGGTTCTGTCCTCTGTTTGTCCTTGATCCAGGAGTACATCCAAAAACTTATGCCCCCATTGATCCAGAAATGGAACGAACTGAAGGATGAAGATAAAGACCTTTTCCCCCTGTTAGAGGTAAGTCAATTTGTTGCAGTACAGATAGCAGTTTGGTTAATGTTCCGTTTAAGCCTGTGCATTGATGGGGCATGATGCAGAACCAGAAATATGAGTTTCTCTATGAAAGATTTTTATTCATACTGTCTGACCCCTCTGTCACCATAATCTCGCACAGAAATGTTAGTTTGAATAATAACATTTTGCATGTTGATTGCTTCATTGAAATTTTTCCACAATTTGTGTTTTTTCATGTGAAGGCCATTTACACCCTATTAGCAAACTGACCTGTGCTGATAAATAGCCGCCACATTTCTTTTGAGGAGTTCTTGAATTGCTTGAGACAAGATTTGTGAATCACACCCTCCCCCCCCATCCTTTGATATATTTACCTGTTAGTAGAAAATATCCACTAATGGAAGTTCTTGTCACAGTGCTTATCGTCCATCGCTACCGCTCTGCAGAGTGGATTCCTTCCATATTGTGAGCCGGTCTACCAGCGCTGTGTCACCTTGGTTCAAAAGACCCTTGCCCAGGCCATGGTGAGTATTGCCCACAGGGCTATTGGATGACTAATTCACAAAGCTGCCATTTTATAGTAGTTAATCAACAAAGCAGGACATATCTAGTGGATTATTTGTTTGTCTTCTTGGCAGATGTACAGTCAACATCCGGATCAGTATGAAGCTCCAGATAAGGATTTTATGATTGTTGCCCTGGACCTCTTGAGTGGACTTGCAGAAGGACTTGGTGGACACGTGGAGCAATTAGTAGCCAGGAGCAACATCATGACCCTTCTATTCCAATGCATGCAGGTAGTAGAGATGTTATTGAATTCATATCTCCTAAGATTCGATGGATAGGGTATTGATCATTGGTTTTATGGCTCCCACTTATGATTTCCATCCTTCTTCATAGGACATAATGCCTGAGGTTCGACAAAGTTCATTTGCTCTGTTAGGGGACCTAACAAAGGCCTGCTTCCTGCATGTAAAACCATGTATCTGTAAGTGTTTGCTAAGTATATACTGGGATCCTAGTAATCTCTGTATTTATACAGCTCCTTTCTATTACATTATACACAGTGCAGCCCCCTCTGGGGTGGGATCCTAGTAATTATCTGTATTTATACAGCTCCTTTCTATTACATTATACACAGCGCAGCTCCCTCGGGGATGGGATCCTAGTAATATCTGTATTTATACAGCTCCTTTCTATTACATTATACACAGCGCAGTCCCCTCTGGGGTGGGATCCTAGTAATATCTGTATTTATACAGCTCCTTTCTATTACATTATACACAGCGCAGCCCCCGCTGGGGTGATATCCTAGTAATATCTGTATTTATACAGCTCCTTTCTATTACACTATACACAGCACAGACCCCTCAGGGGTGGGATCCTAGTAATATCTGTATTTATACAGCTCCTATCTATTACATTATACACAGTGTAGCCCCCTCTGGGGTGGGATCCTTGTGCAATATTAACAGCGCAGACCACATTGAGGTGGGTTCTGAGAACCTATGTATTTATACAGCTACTTTTATTTCCTTTTGCACATTATAGCTGAATTTATGCCCATTCTTGGCACCAACCTAAATCCAGAGTTTATATCGGTCTGTAACAATGCAACGTGGGCCATTGGAGAGATCTGCATGCAGATGGGTGAGTGACAGAGTTCTGCTCTGGGTTATGAACACACAGTACATAGCTAAGCACCTGGACTGCCATTCAAAGTAGGAGAATTTTCCTGAACGGGCTTGCTTTGTATTTAACAGGGGCAGAAATGCAGCCATATGTTCCGATGGTTTTAAACAATCTTGTGGAAATTATCAACCGGCCAAACACCCCTAAAACACTTCTGGAAAACACAGGTTTGCATTTTTTACATTTGTTTTACTTGTGAATATTTAACATGTACTAACTGACTGACAATTAACTGGTGTGGCAATCAATAGACCATTCAGGAACATTGATAGTGGCTGCAACTTGTTTGTGTTTCTAATGAAGGCATGTAGTCAGAACTAGTAGTGGCAGTAATAAGATTATCATTATTTTTTTTTTTCTTTATTCATTTTAATCCACTGATTCTCATGCATTAGTTCAGCCTTGTGAATATAGTACAATGTTGCTTATTTGTACTAACCATATATTTGTATAGCTCAACAGATAACTGCAGATAGATGTTTTATTTGTATGTGTTAGGTCAGGGCTCGACAAATCCCAGGTGCCAAGTCGCCATGGTGACTAGAAATTTTGGCTGGCCGGCTCAGGAAGCTGTATAGTCGGCCGCCCACGGGAGCATAGAGGCGGCCGGCTCCGGAAGCTTTTTAGCCGGCCACCTGCCTGACTGCGGGAGGCATGGAAGCGGCAGGCTGCTCCCTCGCGCTGTGTAATGGTGCCGGGAGCCGGAATATGACGTCCTTCCGGCCCCGGCATCACTGCAGACAATGTGAGAGGAGCTGCAGGAAGATCACTGCTCCCTCGCACCCAGGAATATCAGCCCCACTGGACTTCAGGGAAAGTCCACTCACCTCTCCCAAAGGTATAGAGGCTGGGTGGAATAGAATTAAAAATATAAATGTGTGTGTTTCTGTCAATGAGTCTGTGTGTGTCTGCATGTATTTAAGTGTATGTGTGTCTCTGTCAGTCTGTGTGTGCGTGTGTCTGTTTAGGTACCTGCCCCGCTCCGATCACACGATTGGTGTTTTTACTTTTTTTCCCCACGACGTGCTGGTTTCGCTGTTGCTTGTCCCGCCTCCATAGCTCAGATCTTAATGATCTCAGCTAAGCCAATGCTTTCCCATAGAAAAATATTGGGAGGATATTACGCATGTAATATCACAGGACTCTCACTAGAGCTCTTAGTAGGCAGCAATGTAAACCCTGCCTTTTCTCTAAAAAGGTTACAGGTACAGTCTATAGGCACCAAAACAACTACATTAATCTGTAGTGGTCCTGGTGACTATAGTGTCCCATAAAAAAAAAAAAACTGGCTCCTAACCTTTTTAGCTGTCTACTAGATTCCAAACAAATTTGTCAAGCCCTGTGTTAGGTCATTGTCCAAAACACATGTTAGAAAGAGACGAGAACATGATCTATGTATTGAAGGCCTCGTGTTTCTGTTTTGGTGCATTGTGGGTGCTTACACTATTAAATTGGATATTGAATAATCTGGAGTCATTGCTTGGTACTAATTGGATTAATAATTGTCATTCACTGCTGTATTCAATCTGTGAAGGGACATCTTAAACATAGAATGATTTTATTTTTTAATTTTTATGTGGTTACGTGGTTTCTCCTCTTCCTTTTGCAGCCATTACGATTGGGCGCCTGGGTTGTGTATGTCCCCAAGAAGTGGCACCCATGCTTCAGCAGTTTATCAGGCCCTGGTAGGTCTCTAGAGTAATCAGTGTGTACTAGACATCTGCTTTGTGTCTGTCACTCTAATATATCTGTCCTCCCCCTTATCATTCTGCTCTCCATTAATCTGTCAATTTTCCTGTCTTTAGGTGCACGTCACTACGCAACATCCGTGACAATGAGGAAAAAGACTCTGCCTTCAGGGGGATCTGTATTATGATTGGAGTTAACCCAGGAGGTGTAGTGCAGGTATAGAAAGGTTTTGTCTTAAATTCAACATTTGTACTGTACTGGTAACCATGCGATGGTAGAAGACGAGAGCTGTCTGAGACGTCCTATTATTTTCTAGAGATTTAAAAAAAAAAAATGTATTCATTATTATGAGTAAACACAGTGAAGGTACTTTATTTTAGCACATTGTGTGCTCTTCCATCCTGAGTGTTCTCCTCTCAACATTGTTTGTGCACATACACATCATGTAAAAGATATTCTTGGAAAAGTTGCCATTTGGCAATTGATATTTGGTATAACTGTTAATTATCCTTCCTTGGGTATGTGCACGATCGTGTTAAGGAGTGTTTCAATCTGCCAGCGTTGATACAATTCCAAACAAGGTTAAGCCTTTCCACTGCAACCTCCCAGGAATACACTTGACATTTTTATGAATAGAAAACCCCCTCAGTATTGTGAAAGCAATATAATTTATTGAGGATCCTATAAAGCATCTCGGATGCATAAATACAGACAGACTAAAAATAATGCAGCCATAGTCTGGCGTGTTTCACCCATGTAAGTGTAATCCTAAACATTGTAGAAGTGGATTTCCAATGAGTTGCAATGCAGGAAATTATGTAGAGAATGACAGAGGGTAGAGTTCATAAAGTTATATTATTACAAGGTCAAGAAATGTGTACATTAAATGATATTTAATACAGTTAACTCCATCGTGAAGTCCGTAGATGTGCAGACAGCTGGTTGAAGAGGCATTTACACCTTTCATATCGTGTGGGTGTATGTAAAGCATTGACATACAGACCGCAGCCCTTCTGGATGGGTCGCTATGTTCCCAGCTGACATTATAAAAAATGAAAATTTGTGTTTTTTTTACATTGGTTAGCAGTTTGTCTACAACTTTATATAGATGCAATTTTATGCACTGTAAAAAGACATCAAGTTCTGCTTGGCATGCCAGGTGCATTTTAACCTCTTCCCACTCAAACGATTCAATAATTTCTTAGTGGGTTGCTTTTAATGTCTAGGTTTACCGGTGGAAATGGAAAGGTGTTTACATTGGTACGTCACAAAAGGCTTGGGTTTACCTACACGTATCTCTTCCTTTTCAGGACTTTATCTTTTTCTGTGACGCGGTCGCATCGTGGGTCAGTCCGAAGGATGATCTCCGAGATATGTTCTATAAGGTGAGGCATTCAGTAAAATGGTATTATGCTTTGCCATAGGGAAAAGGATTTTGTTTAAAATAAATGTTGTTGTAGATGTGATTAAGGTATAAAAAAACAATCACCTGTGTATTTATACCATGGTGAGCATCCATCTTACTGAAAACATCTAGCATCAAAGCACTAGAAACTTTTAGAACGAACTGGTAGGAGGATGCCAGGGGACTCCAGACACTAGAACCACTAGAATACCTTCGTGACAAATACAACTTAATCTTAAATAACAGATAATCCGATCTCATCAGAAAGATAGCAAATGTCTAATCAGATTGCTAGTAAATGTCTAGATTTTTCTAAATTCGGAGGTGGAGATAAAACAGCCCTTTCACTGCCTATCAGTCTATTCGGCGTGGAGAGATACTGCCAGAATGATTTCTTGCAGCAACCTTGGACAGACAACCTGATAATGGAGAGCGAAAGATCAGTACGGTTTTTATTAACAAAAGCCTATATAAAGTGTTGAGGGCTTTTAACCTGTTCTGGGAAGCTTGTCTGTGGTCTCCAAACTGGATTATGTTGGAGAGTTGTCTTACAGCAGATGTAACACCGACTGAAAACATGATTTGTACTGTCAGCCAGACACAGGGGTAATTGAAATAAGTTAAAATACAACAGTGTGTTCGTATTAAGGAAAGAAACACTTAATTGTATAACACGCGTCAAGCCAGATGGTTAGAAAACTGTAAACTTATATCTGTCATGACAGGTCACTTTAAATGAGATGACGCAGTGCGTTGAGACAAAGTGAGGACTATTTTCTGTTTAGTCCCTATGAAAAAGGAAAAATGGATATACATGTACTTTTGGTCATTTAAAAACCTTTTTCTTTGGGTGTAAGACCATATCCCAGTGCTTGTTAGTAAATATCACTTGGGCGTTCGCTGTATGCTTGATCAGTTTTGTGGAAGTGGTGATGATGGCAGTATTCTGGTTTTCCCTTTCAGATTTTGCACGGTTTCAAAGAGCAGGTAGGGGAGGAAAACTGGAACCAGTTCTCCGAGCAGTTCCCTCCGCTGCTGAAGGAACGTCTGGCTGCATTCTATGGGGTTTAAAGCAAGCAGAAGAGGATCTACGCAAACCCAGCATGGGAGGTTAGTTAACTTGAGAATTAAAATGCAAACCTAAACTATGTACCTAGGGGACTGAAGGAAACTGCGCCTTCCAAGTGCTTCCTGTGCCCCCACTGTCTGTATTGATTGCAGCTAGCCTGTTATTGGCTGCCCTGTTCTGACTTGCTATTGGTGAGAGATTGTGTCAGTCAACGAACAGTGCACGCGTTTGCTGAATCCGCACAAATCAGAATAGAGCGACCACTAACAAACCTCTTTCACAGAGCTTAATACTTACACTGGCTAACACTGGTATGGAGGAGACGGCCATAGGAACATGGCTTATTAAGGATAAGGTTGCATATTTTATTGATTACTTCTCTTTTGTCTCAAGAGTTTATATAAAACTGTCTTAATGGTGGAGCTGTAAACAGTTACATTTATTTAGTAGTCTTAACCTTTTAATTTTTTTTTTTTTCCTCCCCGTTTTCTTCGTTCTCCAGGTGCCTGTTTGGTCCATGCGGTCATTGAGAAGAATGGTGTCCAACACCCCACCCATCCAATCTTTAGCGGGGTTTTCAGGGAACTGTCAGGGCCAGTACCATCCCTCCACCCCAAATTCCTGGGAACATCTGTGAAGAGTAGGAGGACAAAACAAGATTTCAACTTGCAACACCCTAAATTATTTTTTTAATGGACTATTTTTTTTTTTTTTAATCAAGCATGAAGGGTGGGGTTGGGCCTTGGTTCAAGACGTTCCCTGAAGGGAGGGTATAGGGACCTACTACATGAGTTGATAACATGCATAGCGGGTTGGTTAGTGGGTCGGGAGGCGGGAGCGGGGGCGGGAGGATTAGAATACAGAGCGGGAGGGAGGTTGGGAATCCATAGATGCATCAAGAGGTTTGGCTGATAATCTGCCGTGAAGATGAGGCAGGAGCCAAAATACCATATCACATCAGGATAGGAAAGCTGGCCATTATCATTGCAGGTCTGTGGTGCAGCTGGAGGGAAGGGGAACCTTTTTCTTGGTAATGAATTGGGCTGGAAGAGGGAGGTTACTTTCTGAAGTTAATCGCATATATGAAACAAGTCTTAATCTGCTGCCCCATTCCAGTTTTTAAAAGATTTAGGACACTGACACATGGTCCACCAGCATTCAGTCCATTGTGGTGGATATTTGTCTTAATTTCTGTCTAGCATCAAGGGTTTCACTATCCACTGATGGAAGCAGTTTTAGAAACGGGTATTTTTATTTATTTTTTTAAAATTTTTCTTCTTCAGTCATCAGCATCAGAACACCACCTCTGTGTCGCAAGTTTACGGTACTAGCATGAAGGATTTTATGTATGCACCATTTAGTGCTCCACTTCTTCCTGTACTTTCTGCATTCCGCAGTGGCTGCAAGTAAACCATACTTGCATGAAGGTGGAGAGTGTAGCAGAGACGATCTTCGCAGGACTATTTACCTACACCTTGAGTGTGCCCGCTTTCACCTGAACTCCTGCTATTTTAATCCATATGGTGTCCAGTGCCAAGAGAGGCAGAAGCCTGCCCCTTTGTAGATACCTGCATGGAACATGTGTTTACAGACACTGATGTGTCTAAATGATGCCCTGTAACAAAAAAAGCTTACCTCTCTTTATATACTAACACTATGACAACTTAATCAGGACAATTTTTTTTTTATTTTTTTTTTTATTTAATATGATTTTTAGATTTTATGTTTGAACCCTCAGTGAGGTGTAAATGTAAGATAACGTTCACCATCACTCCAATAACTGCTTTCAATTGTGGGACCTGCACCCTACAGACTATGTTATGCATTATAGGTCCCACAGGTGGGAAACGAAAACACGCATAGCACTAGAAATTAGGAAACCAGTGGGGTCTGTTCAAACATTCCAGGTTTCTATTCTCCCCATAAAGTAATATATGGATTTTTTTTTTTTTAGAGAATCTTTAGGAATTCCAGGACACCATAAAACGTAGCCGGTGATTATTGATTCATAGACTGGGACCTAGCTAAAATTTGGGGGAGAAGGGTTACAATGGGTTAGGCTTGTTAAGTAAGTTAGAGGGGCATAGTGGATGCAGCAGGGAAGTGAAGTGAATAACTTGTACTTTGACTCACATCAACCAAATGTGTTTTGGTACTGAGGGGACTATTTTGACTCATCAAGATCCGGAGGATGAGAAAGCTAGATGTTATAACCTCTCTGGAGAGGGCACAATGATATGTGCAGGGTGCGATGAGGTGGTGCCCATTCTTTACCACCTTCCCTCCCTGTTTTGTACAGTAGGGCACACCACTAGGCTCCAGTTGAATTCTGGGTCTGTATATTGGTATTTGTGATGTAATGTTTCCTATGGTAAAACTGCAGTGTACTTAGTGTAAAGCTGTCTGCTTGCACCTTTGCTCAGATGAGAATTATATTCTCATTTTATGTATATTTTTTTTTTGTTCGTTTATTTTTTTTGTTAACTAAAATGCAGTTTTTTTGTGATTCTAAAATGTTTTATGTGTATTGTTTTTATTTGTAAAGGGAACAAAAGGCAGCTCCATCTGGCCCTCTTGAGTACAGCACAACCAAATAGCTCCTTTTTCCCCGGAATTTGTTAAATGTTTTATTATAGGGCAATATCTCACGTCCTACCGATTTTAAAACCAGCATAAGAATTTCATATATCTTGTGGGACTGCTTCTGAAAATGAATCCAAAGTTTCATTACATGCAGAGTTAGTTGCTCATTACACTATTGTAATTTTGAGGGCCTGTCTCTTTATCTCCTGGTTTCTTAAACACTTTTACAATATGTCCCAATATTCAAAAAGAGGGAATTGAGCTGCCAGTCGGCAAACCTGGACATTTACAACAGACAGATTGCTACTATATATGCAAAGATTTTAAACTGTGACATCATTTAAAGAAACCTAGGAGGGCTATACATAAGAATCAAGAATTGAGAATAAAATTGTTAAGGTTAAGCCAGAATTACCCATCTGGAAAATAGTGATAAAGAATTTTCCAATTAAGGCTTATTTATTTACAATTTGCAGGCGATGAGTCCGCTTTAAAATATTCTTTAAACATGTCTGCTAGTTGGCTTATTAAAATAGAAAAGGTTGATATCGAACTCACCGATTAAGATACAAACCGCCAGTCGGGGAGCTACACTACTGATGGAAAAAGTCTTCTAAGCACAAATTGCAGTTGATATAGAGGACTACTTGGTCACAGTTTCCTGATGGCTATAATGGGGTTTTGTAAACAATAATGTATTTTCTTTGCTCCTCTTTGTCCCAAGTAATGCTACTAAAATTGCATAAAATAGATCACTGTGTTAGCTGAATAATACACCAGTTGAAACTGGCAGTTTGGTGGATAATGTTGCTGCTGCAGGAAACGGAGGTTATTGAAAACCATTTAATATATCATCGTTTTTGTTTACCTATACAAGGCTTTGTGGCCATGTATAAAGAAAAATATTGTAGCCTACAATTTGGAATTCCTTTTCGATGTTTTAAAAGCAGCGCCACCACAATCGTTTAGAAATATCTTCTAATTTTGTCTGACTGCCACTTGTTTGTTTTTGTCTATATCGGAACTCCTAATGGTAATGTTCTTGTGTGCTTCTGTCCCTTGATGGAATGCAAGATTAATGTGATTTATTCACTAATCTGCAAATTGTAAATTTTACGTTAAAATAGTCAGCCTGTGACTATATCTCTGTTGGAAAGTTTTCCAAATTAATTGTATTTGCCTACATTCACTTTTCTATTTCCTTCAATTTGCCATTAAAATCCTATGCTGCTAGCCAGGCCTCAAGGCTTTACGTTATTCACCACTGCCAGCGTGAAGGGGCATGGGACACTAGGGGGCAATATCTACTCACCAATGACTAGTGGACAGTTTGAACCCTGCACTAGATTTAAAAGTGAGTGAATGTGTTTATATGCAGCGACTACACCTGTGTTAAAACCTACTGGACATCCACACATTAGCAAAATAAATTTTATATATATATATATAATATTTCAACTAAGCAGAAATGTTGAGAACAATTAAGTAAATTAACAATGAGGATCTTAAATCTATGTACTTAAACATATAGGAACAACTCTAGTTGTTTCTCTAATAGCCACAAGAGAGATTTGGGTCAAATTAAACATTGTCCAATGAAAGGGACACAATAAAACCACTTAAGATAAATTGCTTTTGTTGATTATAATTATATCTTTATTTTATAGCCCAGGACATAAGTGGAAGCCTAAATGTACATTCTCTGGTCACATTAACTATAAATTATTTTCTCACTGTTGCTGTTGGGGAGAAGAGCAGCACTTTTCATACCCAGAAAAACCTGGTGGGGCTGGAAGCCCTAAGGCACACAGACAGTTACCTTCTCAATGTTTGTAAATCATACACAGAGTGAGCCATGGACCACAACTACCACCCATCACACTGACTGCCTTAGGGAGTTAAAACAAACAAACAGTACAAGAACAGCTAGCCTAAACCTAGTGCAGCAATAACCTGGTGCCCTGAATAAAAATGGCCGCCCAAGTCAGTGCCCGCCCATTCATAGCTCACTGATTGGCTGCCGCATGGTATCCATGGCTGCAGTTATCAGCTCGACCAATAGGCACCCGCCGTGTTAAAACGTCATAAGGAGGAGACGGAAATGCGGCAGTGTCTTAGGAGACAGGTGTGTTCTCATAGTATATGCCAAATAACTTTATAAAATAATGCCATCTGCTTTAAAATCAGGTACAAGGATGAGATTAATACTAAATGGCGCAGAATGCTCTGCTTCATGGAAAAACATGGCACAGAATGCTCTGCTTCATGGGAAACCATGGCACAATGCTCTGCTTTATGGGCACCACGGCACAGAATGCTCTGCTTTATGGGCAACTATGGCACAGAATGCTCTGCTTTATGGGAAACCATGGCACCGAATGCTCTGCTTTATGGGAAACAATGCAAATGGCGCAGAATGTTCTGCTTTATGGGCAACCATGGCGCAGAATGCTCTGCTTTATGGGCAACCATGGCACAGAATGCTCTGCTTTATGGGCAACCATGGCGCAGAATGCTCTGCTTTATGGGAAACCATGCAAATGGCGCAGAATGCTCTGCTTTCTGGGAAACAATGGCACAGAATGCTCTGCTTTATGGGAAACCATGCCACAGAATTCTCTGCTTTATGGGAAACCATGGCACCGAATGCTCTGCTTTATGGGAAACAATGCAAATGGCGCAGAATGCTCTGCTTTATCTGAAACCATGGCGCAGAATGCTCTGCTTTATGGGCAACCATGGCGCAGAATGCTCTGCTTTATGGGCAACCATGGCGCAGAATGCTCTGCTTTATAGGAAACCATGGCGCAGAATGCTCTGCTTTATGGGCAACAATGGCACAGAATGCTCTGCTTTATGGGAAACCATGGCACAGAATGCTCTGCTTTATGGGAAACCATGCAAATGGCGCAGAATGCTCTGCTTTATGGGAAACAATGGCGCAGAATGCTCTGCTTTATGGGAAACCATGCCATAGAATGCTCTGCTTTCTGGGAAACAATGGCGCAGAATGCTCTGCTTTATGGGAAACCATGCCACAGAATGCTCTGCTTTATGGGAAACCGTGCAAATGGCGTAGAATGCTCTGCTTTATGGGAAACCGTGCAAATGGCGCAGAATGCTCTGCTTTATGGGCAACTATGGCACAGAATGCTCTGCTTTATGGGAAACCATGGCACCGAATGCTCTGCTTTATGGGAAACAATGCAAATGGCGCAGAATGTTCTGCTTTATGGGCAACCATGGCACCGAATGCTCTGCTTTATGGGAAACAATGCAAATGGCGCAGAATGTTCTGCTTTATGGGCAACCATGGCGCAGAATGTTCTGCTTTATGGGCAACCATGGCGCAGAATGTTCTGCTTTATGGGCAACCATGGCGCAGAATGTTCTGCTTTATGGGCTGGCGCAGAATGCTCTGCTTTATGGGAAATGGCGCAGAATGCTCTGCTTTATGGGCAACCATGGCGCAGAATGCTCTGCTTTATGGGAAACCATGGCGCAGAATGCTCTGCTTTATGGGAAACCGTGCAAATGGCGTAGAATGCTCTGCTTTATGGGAAACCGTGCAAATGGCGCAGAATGCTCTGCTTTATGGGAAACCATGGCGCAGAATGCTCTGCTTTATGGGCAACCATGGCGCAGAATGCTCTGCTTTATGGGCAACCATGGCACAGAATGCTCTGCTTTATGGGCAACCATGGCCCAGAATGTTCTGCTTTATGGGAAACCATGGCGCAGAATGCTCTGCTTTATGGGCAACCATGGCGCAGAATGCTCTGCTTTATGGGCAACCATGGCGCAGAATGCTCTGCTTTATGGGCAACCATGGCGCAGAATGCTCTGCTTTATGGGCAACAATGGCACAGAATGCTCTGCTTTATGGGAAACCATGGCACAGAATGCTCTGCTTTATGGGAAACCATGCAAATGGCGCAGAATGCTCTGCTTTATGGGAAACAATGGCGCAGAATGCTCTGCTTTATGGGAAGCCATGGCGCAGAATGCTCTGCTTTATGGGAAGCCATGGCGCAGAATGCTCTGCTTTATGGGAAGCCATGGCGCAGAATGCTCTGCTTTATGGGAAACCATGGCACAGAATGCTCTGCTTTATGGGCAACCATGGCACAGAATGTTCTGCTTTATGGGAAACCATGGCGCAGAATGCTCTGCTTTATGGGCAACAATGGCACAGAATGCTCTGCTTTATGGGCAACCATGGCGCAGAATGCTCTGCTTTATGGGCAACCATGGCACAGAATGTTCTGCTTTATGGGAAACCATGGCGCAGAATGCTCTGCTTTATGGGCAACCATGGCGCAGAATGCTCTGCTTTATGGGCAACCATGGCCAAGAATGCTCTGCTTTATGGGCAACCATGGCACAGAATGTTCTGCTTTATGGGAAACCATGGCACCGAATGCTCTGCTTTATGGGAAACAATGCAAATGGCGCAGAATGCTCTGCTTTATCTGAAACCATGGCGCAGAATGCTCTGCTTTATGGGCAACCATGGCGCAGAATGCTCTGCTTTATGGGCAACCATGGCGCAGAATGCTCTGCTTTATAGGAAACCATGGCGCAGAATGCTCTGCTTTATGGGCAACAATGGCACAGAATGCTCTGCTTTATGGGAAACCATGGCACAGAATGCTCTGCTTTATGGGAAACCATGCCATAGAATGCTCTGCTTTCTGGGAAACAATGGCGCAGAATGCTCTGCTTTATGGGAAACCATGCCACAGAATGCTCTGCTTTATGGGAAACCGTGCAAATGGCGTAGAATGCTCTGCTTTATGGGAAACCATGCAAATGGCGCAGAATGCTCTGCTTTATGGGAAACCATGGCGCAGAATGCTCTGCTTTATGGGAAACCATGGCGCAGAATGCTCTGCTTCATGGGAAACCATGACGCAGAATGCTCTGCTTCATGGGAAACCATGGCGCAGAATGCTCTGCTTCATGGGAAACCATGGCGCAGAATGCTCTGCTTCATGGGAAACCATGGCGCAGAATGCTCTGCTTCATGGGAAACCATGGCGCAGAATGCTCTGCTTCATGGGAAACCATGGCGCAGAATGCTCTGCTTCATGGGAAACCATGGCGCAGAATGCTCTGCTTCATGGGAAACCATGGCGCAGAATGCTCTGCTTCATGGGAAACCATGGCGCAGAATGCTCTGCTTCATGGGAAACCATGGCGCAGAATGCTCTGCTTCATGGGAAACCATGGCGCAGAATGCTCTGCTTCATGGGAAACCATGGCGCAGAATGCTCTGCTTCATGGGAAACCATGGCGCAGAATGCTCTGCTTTATGGGAAACAATGCAGATTTCCCTGGGTGCAGTTTATGGAATCTAAATTAATCAGCTTTATAAGATAGATGTGAGCTGTATTTTAATGAATTGTTAGTTTATAAATATAGAGGAGGAGGGTTACTGTATCATTGTGTGTCAAAGGCAGGTTGTAATGTATCAGGATAAGCTTCTGTGTCAGCTAAATCTCCTTACACTATCAGTTCTTCAAATCCAAACACTCGATGTCTGTCTTCTCTGTAAATGTAAACAATCTCCCTTTCACTGATTTCTGGGAAACCATGGCACAGAATGCTCTGCTTTATGGGAAACCATGCAAATGGCGCAGAATGCTCTGCTTTATGGGAAACAATGGCGCAGAATGCTCTGCTTTATGGGAAACCATGCCATGGCGCAGAATGCTCTGCTTTATGGGCAACCATGGCGCAGAATGCTCTGCTTTATGGGCAACCATGGCGCAGAATGCTCTGCTTTATGGGCAACCATGGCGCAGAATGCTCTGCTTTATGGGCAACAATGCTCTGCTTTCTGGGAAACAATGGCGCAGAATGCTCTGCTTTATGGAAAACCATGCCACAGAATGCTCTGCTTTATGGGAAACCGTGCAAATGGCGCAGAATGCTCTGCTTTATGGGAAACCGTGCAAATGGCGCAGAATGCTCTGCTTTATGGGAAACCATGGCGCAGAATGCTCTGCTTTATGGAAAACCATGGCGCAGAATGCTCTGCTTTATGGGCAACCATGGCACAGAATGCTCTGCTTTATGGGCAACCATGGCACAGAATGTTCTGCTTTATGGGAAACCATGGCGCAGAATGCTCTGCTTTATGGGCAACAATGGCACAGAATGCTCTGCTTTATGGGGAAATACCACGCAAATGGCTAGGAATGTTCTGCTTTTATGGCAACCATGATGCGAATGTTCTGCTTTATAAAACTGCGGCTTGTGAATGTTCTGCTTATGTATAACCATGGCGCAGAATGTTCTGCTTTATGGGCAACCATGGCGCAGAATGTTCTGCTTTATGGGCAACCATGGCGCAGAATGTTCTGCTTTATGGGCAACCATGGCGCAGAATGTTCTGCTTTATGGGCAACCATGGCGCAGAATGCTCTGCTTTATGGGCAACCATGGCGCAGAATGCTCTGCTTTATGGGAAACCATGGCGCAGAATGCTCTGCTTTATGGGAAACCATGGTACAGAATGCTCTGCTTTATGGGCAACCAGAATGTTCTGCTTTACAGAAATGTTCTGCTTTATGGGAAACAACCGAATGGCGCAGAATGCTCTGCTTTATGGGCAACCATGGCGCAGAATGCTCTGCTTTATGGGCAACCATGGCGCAGAATGCTCTGCTTTATGGGCAACCATGGCGCAGAATGCTCTGCTTTATGGGCAACCATGGCGCAGAATGCTCTGCTTTATGGGCAACAATGGCACAGAATGCTCTGCTTTATGGGAAACCATGGCACAGAATGCTCTGCTTTATGGGAAACCATGCAAATGGCGCAGAATGCTGTGCTTTATGGGAAACAATGGCGCAGAATGCTCTGCTTTATGGGAAACCATGCCATAGAATGCTCTGCTTTCTGGGAAACAATGGCGCAGAATGCTCTGCTTTATGGGAAACCATGCCACAGAATGCTCTGCTTTATGGGAAACCGTGCAAATGGCGCAGAATGCTCTGATTTATGGGAAACCGTGCAAATGGCGCAGAATGCTCTGCTTTATGGGAAACCATGGCGCAGAATGCTCTGCTTTATGGGAAACCATGGCGCAGAATGCTCTGCTTTATGGAAAACCATGGCGCAGAATGCTCTGCTTTATGGGCAACCATGGCACAGAATGCTCTGCTTTATGGGCAACCATGGCACAGAATGCTCTGCTTTATGGGCAACCATGGCACAGAATGTTCTGCTTTATGGGAAACCATGCCACAGAATGCTCTGCTTTATGGGAAACCGTGCAAATGGCGTAGAATGCTCTGCTTTATGGGAAACCGTGCAAATGGCGCAGAATGCTCTGCTTTATGGGAAACCATGGCGCAGAATGCTCTGCTTTATGGGAAACCATGGCGCAGAATGCTCTGCTTTATGGAAAACCATGGCGCAGAATGCTCTGCTTTATGGGCAACCATGGCACAGAATGCTCTACTTTATGGGCAACCATGGCACAGAATGTTCTGCTTTATGGGAAACCATGGCGCAGAATGCTCTGCTTTATGGGCAACCATGGCGCAGAATGCTCTGCTTTATGGGCAACCATGGCCCAGAATGCTCTGCTTTATGGGCAACCATGGCGCAGAATGCTCTGCTTTATGGGCAACCATGGCACAGAATGCTCTACTTTATGGGCAACCATGGCACAGAATGTTCTGCTTTATGGGAAACCATGGCGCAGAATGCTCTGCTTTATGGGCAACCATGGCGCAGAATGCTCTGCTTTATGGGCAACCATGGCCCAGAATGCTCTGCTTTATGGGAAACCATGGCGCAGAATGCTCTGCTTTATGGGAAACAATGCAGATTTCCCTGGGTGCAGTTTATGGAATCTAAATTAATCAGCTTTATAAGATAGATGTGAGCTGTATTTTAATGAATTGTTAGTTTATAAATATAGAGGAGGAGGGTTACTGTATCATTGTGTGTCAAAGGCAGGTTGTAATGTATCAGGATAAGCTTCTGTGTCAGCTAAATCTCCTTACACTATCAGTTCTTCAAATCCAAACACTCGATGTCTGTCTTCTCTGTAAATGTAAACAATCTCCCTTTCACTGATTTCTGGGATTTCTTATCTAACCGTAGGTACTTTAATGGTGACGGGACACACTGCGTTTTTAGTCGTATGATGGCAAGCGGTCGGCAGGCAGAATCTGACAACGATTCAGATGTGGAAACAGTGGAGGACCCCGATACGCAAGCATTGGACTATATTTCTAGAGTTCTGAGTGGCCAGAGCTTAAACGAGAAACTTCATAAGACACCGTCAGATGACCTTCCCATGGAGTCTTGGGATGACTCCTACCAAGGAGGCTGGAATTTGAAGAAGTCACCTGTGGCAGAGGAGGATGCTGAGGAGCATTGCCAGCTGTTGTTACTCCCCTTAGAGCTCATTCTCCATATATTATCTCATTTGGATCCTCGGTTTATTCTTGGTGTTTTGCCGCAAGTGTGTAAAACGTTCAGTGCTATTGTGACAGAGAAAATAACATGGAGAACACGAGTCAAGAATCGAATCTCCGCTAGCTTTCCAGTGGTAGAACGTAAGTTTTCAGAGCATTGAAAGAAGAAGGGGAATATAAAATAAAAAGCGGTGCCCTTTATATAATCTAAAATAGTATGGAAAATAAATACCTTTCTGTAATACATAAATGTAACACAAAATACACTATACATATCATTTATACAATATTACAGCATTCGTAACCTGGGATTTGTGATGTAGATATCCAGTGATGGTGAGGGTGATAGAATGTCTTCTTTAAAAATGACTGCAACTGTCTCAACTAACTGACTTTACTAATATATATTACATATATATAGTAGACACACACAAGGTCACTCATGCACTAAACCGCAACTTCAAAGCTTACAGATTTTATTCCTTTTTAAAATTTTTTTTTTTTTTTTTTAAAACACACCAAAAAACAAAAACCTAATTAATATTTATGTACAGGTACTTTTTGAATTTTTTTTTTTTTTTGTGTGTTGGCACATTTTCAGCGAGCTCTCCTGAAACCAGGAATTAAATCCAATAGTTTTTTTTTCACCTTTCACAGAAGAGAATTTTGATTGGCCAACTGCCTGTATGGAACTTGAAGAGCAGCTCTCTCATTGGTCAGACAATGGGAAGAAGGCAGAGCATTTCACATTAAGTGACGGACACTACGCCTCTGTAGATGCAGTGCTATTGCTCCAGGTAAAGTGGGTGGCTTGGTCATGGTCTGGTAATTGTGATCATTACACGGAGAGCAAAGTTTAGCATACTGTCATTAGACCGTAATGCATTGGTGTCTTGTACAGTTACATTAGGTGCGAGTGACTCTCCTTCATTTGGCTTTGCTACCCTCAGGGGGGCTCCTTATGCGTCTCTGGATCCCGAGACAGGAACGTCAGCCTCTGGGACTTGAGAGATCTGGAACCAGGGCAAGAGAAATTTAAAGTGAAGGCATTGGGAACAGAGAAAACTGGAACCCATAAGGTAGAGGTTGATCTCTATAACCAGTACATATATTGTAAACATGTGCATTGCTTAGTGGAAAAAAATTCCATCTCACAGCTTTTTCAGATTGCATACTAATTTTGTGTGAACCTTGAATTTATTTTTGTATTTGTCCGGTATAAATGTATCCCGTTCAGCATACATTGTTTACTTGCGTAGGTCTTTTTATTTATTTATTTTTGTACTTTATTTTTGCATAAACAGAAGTGCATTTAGACCACAGTAAAAGGCTTTCGCAGAAGCCAATATCATCGTTCAAGTGTTCATTTTACAGAAGGGAAACGTGGCTTGTTAGTGCAAGTTAAGAACAGAGCTTCATATCGGACATGTTGTTGTCTCCATTCATTCGCTTAGTATTAATGTTTGTCGCTTACAGGTGTTGGAGTTGGGCATTTCTCTCCCCCCCCGCCCCCCAGACTGTCCAAGGATTTTCTGCAAAAATGTTGGAAGATCTTCTATGTGTGCTGGCTTTCACTCTGATATAGCCCTAAAATAATTTAATCTGTAGCTGCTCCTTCTGAGACCTATATCATTCTAATACCTGTGTATGCACTGAGACTAGACATGCCTGCACAGTAGAGGTGATACTTGGTTCTGTGCATTTTGCAGGGTTGGGCCTGGTGTCTTGCATCCTGCGGAAATCTATTAGGTTCGGGGTCCTGGGACAGCACTGTGAAGATCTGGGACATCGGAGCTGAGGGCCAGCAGGTGGGACAGATCAGGTACGAGAGCTGTGTGACAAATGGTTTTATATCCTTTATTGCTTGGTAAGGCCTTTTGAACCAAACGATAACATCACTATCTCTGCATCTAGGGGACGGGCAGCAGTGCTGTGTCTAGCATTCCTTCCGGATATACTGGTGGCTGGATCATATGACAAGAGAGTGAGTGTATATGATCCAAGAGGTGAGGAGCCATGCATATTTTATTGGTTATTATTTGAATTTGTGCATGAGTTAATTTGCTGTTCTACATTACTGTCTAGTTGTCTAGTCTTCATAATGTCAGATAAAGGTTTAGGCACTTCCCTATTTAAATCCTTTGTGTGCAGCTTCCAATCCATTGATCCGTTCTCGGAAAATCCATTCCAGTCCGGTGCTGTCCCTGGTGGCCGATGAGCGTCACATTGTGTCCGGGGGAGAGGACCGAACCTTGGTGGTGTTTGACCGCAGAGCTAATGCAGTATTACAGAGGATACAGGTAAGAAGGGGCATTGTTTATATATGTTTTAATGCTTATATCTGATTCGTCTTAGATTCGTCTTATATTTTCACCATTGATTACTATACTAACCCCATGGTTGTCCTTCAGATGAACATTTCAATGTCTGTAGAGATGAGGACAGGGTAAAATACTCCTTGCAATTTAAAAACAAAAACAAAGTTTGTTATGTATGACATGCAATTTTTAAATGTTCTCGTTTCTTTTCACTCTTCCTTTTCCAGCTTGAAAATTACCTCTTTTGCATGTCGTATGAATCTCCTCAGCTGTGGGCTGGTGACAATCAAGGTCTAATTCATGTGTACGGAAGCCACAGTGGGACATTCCAGAAACTACGGGTATTATAGTAATCATTTTTAGATAAGTAAAGATTAAAGGTTTGCTTCAAGCACCATAATCACTCCAGTGATTTCACAATGAAATGCGCATAGCGAGATTAACCTCTCTGTTGCTGGAGTTGTAATTGCACCTCTTGCTGGGGCGTCTTCAGCCGGCACGAAACAAGGTTTCTGGGCTGGCTAATGGCAGTTCTGTGTAAATGTCATTGTACAAACGCTTATTGATTGGCTGAAAGCATTCGGGTGATGCTCTGAGCCAGTCAATGAGCAGCCGGATTGGCATTCCGATTTCTACAGCTCTGCAGAAGCTGGATGTTGTAAATCTGCCTACAAAGAAGATCAGGAACATGGCAGGACCAGGTAAGAGGGCAGACCGTTGCAAAATGATTTGCCCCATTACTGGGAATACCCATGGCATCATAAACCAACAATGCAGAACGTTGTAACCCTTTTATTTACGTTACTTTGCGTGCTTTATCTTTACCTGATGGTCGGGATACACCCAGGAAAGAGAGAGACAATACTTTTAAAATCAGCAGCTCATTTGTAATGCATTAGGTGATCTGTACGGTCCTATTTAAAAAAAAAAAAAAAAAAAAAAATTTAAATCGAGGTGTGTATGTTGCTGTATTCTGCTTGTTATTTATGGGTGCTCAGGTTTCTTGGTAACATTGTATATGTTCATGAGTAGTTTGTGGTAGTGTGTGTGTGTGTGTGTGGATGATATGTCACATAGTGTGTTTGGTGATGTGAGTGTTTGGGTTGGGCTGCTTATAGAATTGCAAGTGAGAGGCTGCTTGTGGAGTTGTGTGAGTGTATGTCAGCGGTGTTGTGGGGACTTTGTGTGTGGGCTGTTTGTATTAGTTGTATGAGGGGAGGCTTATTCTGCAGCTCTTTGTATATCTGTCAGTGTGGGTGACTTACTTTGGTTACAGTGGGGACCGGGTTTTCCATGTACAGGTCAAGGGCAGGAGCTGCAATAACTGCTCTACTCCAGTGTGGGTTACCGTTCACAAGTGTTGGGAGGAGGTGATCTGAAATCACTTCATCTAAGTGCTGCAACATGTATATTGAGGATTGTCTCTCTGCAATCAGCAGATATCTGAAGTCTCACTGGGACTCCTGATAGGCCAGAGCCTATTTTTCACTGGCAGCCTTGTTGAGTGCCGTACATGGCACGTGTCATAGGTTGCCGACTCCTGCACTAGTTACTATTGAAATGGCATTGGTTGTACTTTGACTGATTTAAACATGGCTCCTGATTTCTGGGTTCAGTTCATATCAGTATCATATCTCTGTACAGAGCTTTCATCCATGATTTGATAAATTACAGGGTGATTTACTTAAGTGAGAATTGTGGGAAATTCAAAGGGAATTTAAGAACAAATATTCTCCGCTATCCCTCCAGTTAGGCTATATTGGTATAACATTTTATATTCACTTTATCATTTGTTAAAAGAAAAACAGATTGTAGCTGTAGTAACAAACAATTTGTTAGCATATGTTGTATTTTCATCCTCTTTTTATTTTTTTGTCTCCTGTCCCAGTGCTTTGATGTTGGCCACTCTTCCCAGGTCACTGACGTTTTCCATTCAGCGGGTACACTTTATACTACTTCCACTGACAAAACCATGAAGGTGAGCATGAACTGGGTGAAATTGGGGACTGACCCTTTAAAGGAACACTATAGTGTTTGAATAGTTATGTAGGTGCCCTGCCCCCGGGATAAAGGGTCTTGCAGCAGCTGGCCACACCTCCATGTGAGATGATCAGTTTTGATGATATCAGCCAATCCAATATCACATAGAAAAGTATTGGAATTCTATTGCGAATGGCTAGCAAAACACCACCCTACGCCATTCAGAATGTCCTTATAGTAATGCATTGAATCAGTGAAGCGTTCAGCATCTCCATGCAGATCGTAACGATGCTGAATGTAGGTGCTGCACTTAGTGCAGCACTGAAATAGGAAGCATTTCTAGTGGCTGTCTGAGTGAGTGTACCTAGAGCTGTTACTTTCTAAAAAGACAGTGTTTATATTGAAAAGCCTGCAGGGACAGGCTATAGCAACCAGAACCACTACATTAGTGTCCCTTTAAACATGCCTCTGTGCTTCGTAATTGGACCGACACGGTTATTAGGTATCTAGATGAAGAAGACATTGGGCCGGTTACCACAAAAACACCATGGTCAGCAGCAGCAATTTCTTGAGTTTCTGTCATTATTTATTTTCGTTAAAGGACCACTATAGTGCCAGGAAAACATAATTGTTTTCCTGGCACTATAGTGCCCTGAGGGTGCCCCCACCCTCAGGGCTCCCCTCCCGCCCGGCTCTAGGGGGTGGAAGGGGTTAAATTTACCTCTTTGTCCAGCGCCGAGCGAGGATTTCTCCTCCTCCTCCTCTCCGCCTACATATCACCGTCATCAGCTGAATGCGCAGGAGCCGCGCGCGCATTCAGTCAGTCCATAGGAAAGCATTCTCAATGCTTTCCTATGGACGCTGGCGTCTTCTCACTGTGAAAATCACAGTGAGAAGCGCGGAAGCCCTCTAGCGCCTGTCAATGAGACAGCCACTAGAGGCTGGATTAACCCATTTATAAACATAGCAGTTTCTCTGAAACTGCTATGTTTATAGAAGAAAGGGTTAATCCTAGCTGGACCTGGCACCCAGACCACTTCATTAAGCTGAAGTGGTCTGGGTGCCTATAGTGGTCCTTTTAATGGAGTTCTTTGAGTTTCTTTTTTTCTCTCCCTCCTTACTGGTATTGGGTCCCCCTGGGCCATTAGATAATCACTCTATTCTTGTCTCCAGGTTCATATTCCCACTGATCCCCCTCGGACAATCTACACGGAGGTGCACAGCAGTGTGGTCAATGGGGTAAGATTATTTAAACTGAGAATCATTCATGAGCGAGTATCTAGCCCACACTGACATTTAATCAGTTAGTCCTTCAGTCCTGGAGCAGGGGTAATATGTGCAGGGGAATGATTTAGCTTCTGTTACTGATGTGGGAACTGTTGATGATCTTTGTGCCATTATTTACCTTTTCGAGTCCTTCACAATGTGCTCAAAGTTTTAATTTTGTTTCCATTTCTTTCTCTCAATCACTTTCCTTCTCCATTGTCATTTCTGCTCTCCTCTCTGTGTTTTGCGTGCCTTCCATTGTCTTCTCCCGTGTGTGTGTCTCTCTCTCTCTCTCTCTCTCTCGCGCTCTCTCTTTGTTTCTCAGGTGAGTGTAGCCGGACAAACTGTTGCAGCTGCCTCTGGAGGACAAACTGTGGAGATCTGGAGATTTAAAGAATAATGGAATTATTTTCGAATACAAAACCAAAATCGTTTCTGGAGAGCGCAGTCTTTCAGGGAAGAACAATCGCAATAGGTGAAACTGAGCTAAATGATTAGCTTTTGGTTTGGAAACAAATGAAACGAGACCTCACTCAGTGACCAAATAACTTTAAAAAAAAAAAAAAACAGTAATGTACTCATTCCATTGTGTAATGTCAGACTAATTCTCATTTCGTGTTCTCTGCTGTAAACATAGTTTAAAGGAACACTATAATGTCAGGAATAGAAACCTGATTTCTGACAGTATGGTGCTGGTGCTATTTAGGTCACTGGCCTCCCTCAGGTTGCTCTGAAAAGGTGCTTTTACAAAACTTTTTTTCCCATGCTGCACTGGACTCGCTTGGGCTGGCTCTGTCTTCATGGCTGAGATCATAAATTTTGATGCTCTCCGCCAGTCCAATGCTTTCCCATAGGAGAGCATTGGAAGACTATTACACATGTGCGGCGAAACAATGTGCCAATCAGCATCTCCTGATAGAGATGCATTACATCAATTAATCTCTATGGGGTGTCATTGCTGCACATTGTACAGCACTGACCCAGGAAGCACCTCTAGTGGCCGCCTGAATGACTGCCACTAGAGGTGTCGCAAGGCAGTAATGTAAACACTGACTTTTCTCTGAACAGCCTGCAGGGACAGACTTGACACCAGAACTACTACATTAAGTGGTTCTGGTGACTGTAGTGTTCCTTTAAAGTAGCTGTGTCATCAAAAGGGTTATTTGCACTATCCTATATCTTGTCTTGTTAATTTTAATGTTGCCGTATTTTATTTTTTGAATAGGTAGTTTTACAGTCTGAGATTAAAATGGGATTTATTGGATTTTCTACCATTTAATTCATGCAAATTGCAAAAGTTGAAGGTGCAAACTACAATAAAAGTTGCTTGCGTCACTTCTCAGGGTTTTGGCCTAGTCAATCGTTGTTAAAACCACCATTGGCTGAAGTTACAAGTATTTTGGCATTAAAAAAACTCTCTAGGCACTGTGGCCAGTCTAATAGTCCTTTAAGTTGAAAATCTGCACCACAACATAATGCCAGCACCGCTACCCTGTCTGCTTGGTTTTCTCCGGGTGATCAGCAGTGTAGTTTTGGGCCACACATGTGCTTTTGGTCTCATCCAACCAGAGGGAAAAAACCCTACTAATGCATCAAAGTAGGTTCAAAGGTTGGGACATTATGTATTTAATTTCATATTATTTTTCTCTGGTGCTTATTCAGAATGTTATATCTAAATAGTTTTTTAATTCTTTATTTTGTTTGTGCATAGGTTAAACAAGCAAGTTTGCATTATAACGACAGCTGGAGCAAACATAGTAAAACATCTTTGTGGTATTGAGAACCCTGCACATTTTTATATAATAATTAAGCTGGAACAAGAGAGGATATAGTACATGTGAAAGAAAACGTTAGCAGAGTGCGTGAGTAAGTTGTATGCACTAATTTAGCTTGTGCGTAATAAACATAAAAATTTACAAAATTAACAGTGCTAGGCATTTCAACGAAACACTAGTGACTCGTAGAGGCTTATACACTGAGAGTGAGTTAAAAAAAGTTGAGTAGCTTTAGAAACATACTGAAAATGTCACCCAGGGGATCCCGCACCAAAGTGAGAGCTATGAAATACACATTTCTTAAGGAGCAGGAGGCTCCATAGCCCCATCCAAGCCTGGAGCAGCATCCAGGTGGTGGGGAGGAAGAGGCTGGCTGAGGGCACTGGTCCCATCCATGTCGCACTGGCGACTGCAAGATGTGGGCTAGCTTTCGGACCGGAGCCACGTGTTGGAACCCTGCTGGTAGATCCGCTCCCGACTGGCAATAAGGCCGAGGCGCCGTATCAAAAAGTCCCAAGAGCCCACAGAGACCTTGGTAGGCAAGGGGAAATCGTCACGCTCCTTGTCGTTTCGACATGCAGCAACTGCCATTTTAGGTGAGGCTTCTCTGCCACTTGAGTTGGTTTCAGCAGCTCTGGGTTGTTCGTAGCAGTGGGGCCCTCCCAAGCTGAGGACTGAAATGACCCCTGCCAGTCCACAGGGAGGGGGAACGGGACCAGCATTGTGTGGGACAGAGGATCTGATCTGCTGCAATTGGGCAGTGTAGCAGGGTGGCGGCCGCCCACCCCACTCACTGCAAGAGTAGCCCTCAGCCGCGTGGACCAAGGATCTCCCTTCCAGAGACTGAGAGGCAATTTTCAGGCTCAGCCTCGGAACCAATACTGCTCTGCAACTTGGACCACAGTTTCCAGGTGTTACATAGGCAAGTTTATCGCCGTGGTGAGCTTAATAATTAAAAGACTACAGGAGCTGCTTGTTCTTGCATCCTCACAGCATGGCGGCCCGGCCCCGCCACCTATCTGAATTGGTTTTTGATCACTCCTTGGTCTTACGATGCTGTTTTGTTTGTGTTTTTTAATCCTGTGTAAAGATGAGAGGGGAAAAAAATTCTAGTTGAGGCACATTGTCTGACTGTGTGCGCATGAGCCACACGCACACAGTCCTCAAAGCTTCTCCTTAAAGGTGCGCACACAGCACTGCCTGCAAGGGAAGAAGCTGATGACATTCGTTACCAGCAAACTGTGTGTGTGCCAGACTTTTTTTTTTTTTTGTACAGGATTCACATTAGTGAGTTAGGAAAAGAGTTCCGAGTTCATTTAGTCACATGTGCTGGAGGCGTAACTACATACCGACACAAATCAGATTGCTCTGTATAGACCACATTTCGACTTGCAACACTGCACATAGAGATTGCTTTCTCCATAACCAAACTAAAGGCAGATGGAGGCTGGACTATCCCTTTAATTGTTCATAGTTGGTCAACTTGCAACTAATTACATGAATTCTGAAGGCCATTTGTTTAACTTCTGTGTCACAATAAAAATATATATATATATATATATTTGCACCTTTGAAATGTTAGCTATGTTGTGAAACTCAAATGGTAAAAAAATACAACAAACTCCATTTTAAATTGAGACTGTAAAACTATAAAATATTAAATGGTTCAAGGTGTGTGATTATTCCAAGCACTATAAAATTAAAACCGCTAACATTTTTTTCCACCAACTCTGATAGAAACCGTTGGTTTTGTTACATAATCACGCGGTTCTGAAATTCCATCTTTGCTTTTCAGCGGAGAAGCAAAGCAGAGTAGCTGGAAATCCATGCCTCTTATTGGCTACTGAAATGACACGTACTTAGCAGGATTTTATGTTCATTATGTCTCTTTTAGAATAATGATGGTGTAGTTTGATCAATCTGATATTTAAATGGGAATTGCAGCTGAATGTACTATAACTTAATACATTTGTAAATAATTTCAGATCCAATGTGTGTAAAAAAATAAATAAAAATTAAAGCAATAGTGTCAGCTAAATATATAGAGAATGTTTTTAAACAGCCTTATATTATCCACGGTGTGAATCGAAGTCATTGATATTTAAGCTTGACATGCTGGATGTTTACATTTCTCTTAATACTTTGTCTGGCTTATATTATGAGCCCTTAAAGGGTCACTCCAAGAACCATAACCAGTACAGCCTATTGTAGTGGTTATAATAAGTAACCTAGCTGTGTTACCTGGGTTCGTGTCCGGGGCCAAGCCTCCTTGCATGTCTTGTGACGTGCATCCGTCTTTTGGAGAGCCAAAGCGGCCGGATGGCATTGCTTTTGAGCATCAGCTGACTGTTCTCAGCCAATGAGTGACATTCTATGTATATATGCACAGAATTGACATTAGCCAGTGCAGATCCCTTATTCTAGGCTGAATAAATGACGCCCCAGTGACTACTGGAAGTGAAGCTATAACTTTGGTAGCAATGGAGTTGCATAGTAATCTAGGTTGAAGAAAGACTCAAGTCCTTAGAGTTCAACCTACAAAACGCACCTTTTTATCCTGTTGATTAATATGTTTCAGCTTCTCACAGACATCATCCTGTATTTTTGAGCAGTTAAAGGTGTTGGTGTCAGGGAATCCACCCATTGGAACAAACTAGTACATTTTTGTTGCGAGCATGTGCTCTGTTTATTTTAAAGGAACATTATAGGGTCAGGAACAAAAACATGTATTCCTGAAACTATAGTGTTAAAACACCATCAAGCCCCCCTGCCTCCCCTTACCCCCTAAATATAGTAAAATCTTACTTTTATTCCAGTCTCTTGGTGCTGGCTCTGCCCCTGATCTGCTTTCACATAGGCCAAACACAGCCCTGGCCAATCAGCATCTCCTCATAGAGATGCATTCAATCAATGCAGCTCTATGAGGAAAGTTTAGTGTCTCCATGACCGTCACAATGTGCAGCACTGCCCCAAGAAACACCTCTAGCAGCCATCTGAGGAGTGGCCAGTGGAGGTATCCCTAGGCTGTAATGTAAACACTGCATTTTGTCTGAAAACTGTGTTTATTGCAAAACGCCTGAAGGGAATGATTCTACTCACCAGAACAAATTCAATAAGCTGTAGTTGTTCTGGTGACTATAGTGTCCCTTTAATATATGCCCTTAGTTAATACATTCCTGATCTAAAATGTTGCTGGAACTGTTTGTTTGTGCTTTCTAAGTAATGAGAATATTGATTGGCTTGGAATAGCTCTTGGATTTCTTTTGGGGTAGATTTAATTTAAATCAGGATTTTTGAAAGTAAACACTGCTTCTTGCTGGTTGTATTAATCTTTAATATTTCTACCAGATGAAGAGTTCATATTTAGAATAATAATTTTTCAGATTCATTAAACACATATAGGAACTGATTTTCTTATAAACCATTAGAAATGCATAGATAATGCAGATAAGGTGCGCGATCTCCGGTTTAATAGGTTAATATAACATTATATAGCACACACATTCCATTATTTGCCTACACATCAATGTTTAACTGAAGTCGCAAAATCTATTTTAAAACAAACTTGAACTGACTACATCGGCATAAAAAAATGTAAAACTCTACCTTCTGCAGCTTTACTCGTCTTAATCATTTTGTTTATTAATAATCTGGAAAAACAAAGGTTTTCCTGTTTTATCCCAAACAATTTCTACCTTTTAGAATGAACCAGTCCAAAGAGAGAGGATATTCGGTTGATGCCAGCAGAAGAGGCCACTGCTGCTAAAAATGAAATCCTTACAATCCCAATGCTTAAATGACTTCTGCCAATTCTCTTGTGTGACATTCTTTAAAACGTTATCAGCAAATATATTTTGTGGAGATGAATGATTGCTGGATACCCACATCATAGCGAATTCCTCTCGTTCAGCACTTTACGGGTTTGACCCTGGTGCCGCATAGTGACAATGTTTGCAAGAAAGTGAGCAAAGACAGTGCTTGTCCCAACTATTCTTTTGTTAATTGTTGTCATCTTAATTCTGTTGCTGTATCCTTGCTCTTTTTCAGTGCACACTCGGCAGTCATTCGGTGCCACCATTTTTATTTTCTCCATTTTTTGGGGGGGAATTGTCCAGTTCTTGATATACTATTCATTACAGCGCATTACAGAGTTTCAACATCTTGTGGTAGAGTTGGCTAGGTTCCACCCATTTGTTTGTCAGAACAACTGCTGCAAAATGTGTTACGGACGGCTATAGTTATTTCAATGGCATTAGTCTATATCTGTGGAACACCAAGGTCTTTGGCTAGGAGGTGCATGCATTAAATGAGCTTTTATTTTCTTCATCTTTTTCAAAATTTCTTTTCATTTTGGACACTTTTGCAGCAATGTCTGTGACCAAACTGTAGTAGACATTAGATCCCCACCCCCCATCACTTTATTATTGTAAATTGTGCTGCTGTGCATTTCTTAAATAACAATTGTCTCAAGTCCATTTTCTGTTATACGAACACATACAACTGGATCATTGTGGACGTTCGTCTATCCATCAAGACTTTGAACAATTTTACCATCTAAACTTGTTGTCTGAATCATATTAAGTGTGGGTTTTCAAGCAGACGGAAAGAGGAGTTTGTCGCGTAAACAAACTGAGCAATTTTTTTCATCAAAACTCTTTCTAATCTGCTGATTTTATCCCAAGATTATTTATTGTAGTTCCTGAATGGTCAGATTGTTTGTGTTTTCTTTTCTTTAGATATATACGTAAATGATATCATTGACTCACTACCCTAGACAGGTAACTATAAAACTGTAAAACAAAAAGGGGGTGAGCTAGGAGGTATATTGGTTTCCGAAATCTTTTATGTTGATGGTGGAATCCTCAAAAAATAAGTTATTGCGGCTTTATTCTCAAAAACCAATATTTGCTCATTTAATTACTTTGCTGTAAGAATGGTATAAAGATGACCGTGCCAGGTAGTAACAATTTTCAGAGTGGTAGAATAACAGGTTGCAGGGGCCAACACAACTTTGTCTTGTGGTTAAATCTTTCCATACTTGTTACGTAGACAATCCTTAGCAATTGCTTTTTGGAAAACATTGTATTACAATGCCCTGTCTAGACTCCGAGAGTCTAATTGTGTTTGTTATGGAACCAGTTCTTTCCTGCGCAGGATAGCATATGCTTTACTTCCATTTTTTTGAGGGTCTTATTGTTACTGCGTATCCATAGATGTTAAAGGAAAACTCCAGTGCCAGGAAAACAATCCGTTTTCCTGGCACTGCAGGTACCCTCTCCCTCCCACCTCCCATCCCAGGTAGCTGAAGGGGTAAAAACCCCTTCAGGTCACTTACCTGAGACCCCGCCGATGTACCTCTGCGGTGGTTTCGGGTCGGCGTTGCTCCTCCCAGTAATCACGTCAGCCGGTAGGCGAGATTGATCCCGCCCGCCGGCTGAGGAAACCTAATGCGCATGTGTGGCAATGCGGCTCACACACATTAGGTCTCCCCATAGGAGAGCATTGAAAAAGATTTTTAATGCTTTCCTATGGGGAATTGAGCAACGCTGGAGGTCCTCACACAGCGTGAGGACACCCAGCGACGCTCTAGCACAGAAAATCTTTGCTATGAATCAGGAAGTGCCCTCTAGTGGCCGTCTAGTAGACAGCCACTAGAGGTGGAGTTAACCCTGCAAGGTAATTATTGCAGTTTATAAAAAAACTGCAATAATTACAGTTGCAGGGTTAAGGGTAGTGGGAGTTGGCACCCAGACCACTCCAATGGGCAGAAGTGGTCTGGGTGCCTGGAGTGTCCCTTTAAGTGCTACCACCTAACATTACCTTGTTCGTTGCGCCATATACACACTAATAAGATATGTATTTTTGTTCAACTGTGACAGTTCTTCATGGCGGGCTCGAAGAAATAATGTGAAAAAACTGTTTACCAACCTGACGGTCCTGAATGTTTAATCACAGCACTTATTGTTTTACTAAGGCCAGCGTGCCTTACATCACCACATTACCGATAGGTAGAGGAATTTAATTAAAATAATACCAAACTAGGTCTCTTTCACCCCTGTGAAAGATCTATTTATCGATTTTTAGCCAATCTATTAATTGAGATTATTGAAACTTTGCACTTAACAGAAATGTGTTCCTTATGTTAGAATGTCCTACTCGCTATTTAGCTGTTCTTCCCCCACCCCCCCACCCCTGCACCTTTGGCATTAGGCAGCAGTGAGCTTGTAACTGACCCTTCAGTTAATTTTTCTGCATTATTAATTTAAAAATATATATATATATATATTCATAAAAACAAGAGGATTGCTGACAATATAGTTTTTCCTTAAAATTGCTATTTCTCTTGCAGTATCAATAAAGGATCACTGCGTATTGCCGGGCAGGAATTTTCATGTCTTGCCCTACAGTGCAGAGCAAGACAAATATGTAAAAGTTAAATATTTTCAAGAAACATTGTGGGTCAGGCAGTGTTAACTGTGAACGTGACGATGTACCTCCAATGTAGCATGCACGAAGGACCGGTCTACTACGTTCCCCCAAAGTCACCACTAGATGGCAGTGCAAAGACATCTTGTGTCCTAGAGATCTCCAACCAACGGTAGAGGAAGAATTGATCGATCCTTATGCCATTCAAATAATTTAGGTCTCATTGAAACCTTTTATTTATTAATTTTTCATCTGTGGCTGTTGCTAGGTTACATTTATAGGTCGAGTGTAGCACAATTTCTTTAGTGTGCTAGTGTTTCAGACACCATCTCCTTCTGTTCCTTTTAATTTTCGTCCAATTTTGGCCGTCACTTATGTGTTTACGTGCTCCGTTACATTCTGCAAAGCTCCCCTGCGAGGATTTGTATCGGAACATCTTACTATTGCACTTTATTTCTATATAAATCATGCTTCCAGGTTTTAGCTTGGCTGCTCTCAAAATGTGATGTGCTCTGTAATGAAATAAGGATGTTGTGCTTTGAAGGGTTCACCCCTCCCTTCCTTTGGTATTGTGACCAATTCAGTTTACATCTCTATAATGGCTTTACACGTTCTCATATTGTGTTGCTGTCTGAAGTTGTATGAAATTATTGATCCTACGTTTTTAATGTTTATATAATTACTGACAATAAATGTATGTGGATACTGTATCGTGTTTTGGTGTTGAGTTACTCATGTGATATATTGATCGTACAAAACCATAAAAACTTTGAGTTTTTTAAGCTCTACACTACAATTTTATTGTTTTGTATGTTACGGAGTGTTTAAAGGTTTACGCAAGGTAGTGGTTAGCAGCTGAAAGATTTAAATGACATATATATTAGATATTTGTTTACTTTCTTTCATGCGCCCTCTCTACACACCATCACTAGATTGATAAATCGCTCAGTCTGGATGCAGGTTGTGGTTATTCACTTAAGTGTGAATTGTAAAGAATTCCAACTGATTTCAACAACGACAAAAAGTTGTAGTAAAATAAAAAGCCACTGGGTTATTTACTAAGGTGAGAAATGGTGGGTATTTAAGGTGAATTTCAAATTTAAGGTCAAAGCTAAAATTAAAAAGCATTTTTCAAATTCGTTCTGCTTCCAATTCGATTACTTTGGCCTTAAATGTTGACATTTTGTTTGAATTCCCAATGATTCTCATTTTCATAAGTAACACTGCCAGTGAAAATTATTTGAGAAAAATCCAGCTCTGACATAGTGACAGCCTGTCTGCTTCAGCCTTCATTTTGTAATTCAGTCTACAATTCACTGCAATTCAACTTGCAAATGAATTTCAAATTCAGGGCCCATTAGATGAACTGGGTAAAAAAATCCCTAAGTTATCGGTATATTCAGATAGAAAATAAAATTCTAACATTGAGTTTGTTAGTGTACACAGTGTGGGGTCTGTGCAGGGAGACGGGTACACTAAACTGTGGGTCTTAAGCATAAATAGTGCAAAATAAAAATCGTATTTGATGTCCGTGTGAATTGGTTCAACAGCTGAATTCATTAAAGACTAGATCAGCTAAACAATGTTAAACATTAAAGGGACACTAAAGGCACGCAGACCATGGAGATGTAGTGACCCTGTAGTTTTAACCATTTAATGTAAAACATTGTAGTTTTGTACAAATTGCATTGTTTCCATTGCAGGATTAAACACCCCTATAGTGTCTGTCTTCCTGAGTCAGACTCTGTTCTCAGTAACATGCTTCTCCAAGTGCAGTGTGGCACCAATCAAATTATGGGGACGCATTGGATTGGCCGAGATAATCAAGATTGACAATCTCAGCCAAAGTGGCATTTTGGTTGCAGAGATAGTAGAGTGGTGACGGAGAAAATGTAAGGGGCTGGAAGGGACACTATAGCTTTAGGAATGCATGTTTCTATCGTTCCCAGAAATTGGATTTTCCCTCATTCTACCTCACTTTTTGGTTCCCCCTTCCAGGCTATCGCAATGACAGCTTGGACTTTACCAGGGAATTTATGGAATCTTAACTTAATTGAAGAAAGTTTGCAATTGATCTGTCCTAAGATTTGAAACTGAATTTCTGGGTGAACACCTGTCACTTTGCATTTTAGTGAATAGGCCTGATTCTCTCTTCTTCTCCAGCCCATCACCTGGCACATGAATAAGGAGACAGAATTAATGTCAGCATCCTGAGAGTATGACTGCAATTACTATATCTAAAGAGGGGGGCAGGGCCTGACCTACAAGATGTCCGGTTGTGCTTTTCTGCAGATCCTGGCAAATTGGTCAAAAATCAAGGGAAAAACGCTTCAAAATCCTTCACCATAAGCTTCCTGAGCTGCAAACAGATTGCTATTATAGTCAAGCACATATTCCTCAGCTCAATCCACAATCACCTGCCGACTAGCAACTGTGTCCATCTTTGTGGACTACTGTTGTTGACACGCAGGCTGGGGTGAGAGGCGGCCAATCTCCCGCAGCTGTGTGTGCATGCAACTACAGATTTCAAGAAGCCCCATTACCACCCATTCCCCCATTCCTGCACCGGCAGGGTGATCCCGGCCCCCACTGGGTCAGCTTAACTCTCCACTCACAGGAAAAATAAAGCTTGAAGACTTCAAAGCCACGTGGCGCAATCAAAATGGCCACCGTGGCCAACTGAGCTTGAAGGGTCAACAATGGAGAGATATCTTCCTAACAAAATTTGATGTCATTTGTCAAAGATTCTGGCTTAATGCTGCTGGCAGATCCCTCACACTCACCCCCCCGCCACACAGCTAGAGTGATATTCCAGCCGCACGTTCCTCTTCAGGGCCAGGGTCCTACATGGAGAAATCTCCTCTTCGCCTTGAAATCTCCACTTAACCCCTGAAGGCCGTCAAGGGAAGTCAGTGTACCTCTAAGATCACGATCCTACCACCTTGGTACGGGAATCTATGGACATTCCTGTTCAGGCCTGGAGCCGAAGATATGCAGCACAGTTGTCATATGGTTTGAGAAGCACTCAACAGGGAGCAGGGATGATGTTTCTGACAGGGGGCAGAGGTTTTTTGCTATCCAAGACACTGGGTGAACAGACCAGTTGGCTATCAGATGTTATGATGGTTTTTACTTTGTTTAGTTAATACTGCAAGCTACTTACACGTGTAATATAATCTTGGCCACCTTTGTTATTTACTCATATCCAGTGGTACCTGTACTATCATGATAACTAGCATGTTAACACTTTCTATGTATTTACTACTTACATTTCATATTGTTTTTAATTTTAAGAATGGGGCAGTCTCAGGTGTCTATTTGATTGTGCTTACCAACCTTAAAGGGCTCATGCTCTTACACCTTACTGTCTGTATCATAATTACAAAAGGTGCAGGAAAAACAAAATATGTGTATACACAAACCAAAAGTACAACTAGTGCAAATAAGATGAAGCTTCCAAAGGTACCCCGAAGACTTCCTCCTGTTTTCCACGAAATATATACACTAAATAGGGGATAATCTGCTAAGCCAGTAAAAAAACCGTAAAACATAGCATATAACTGTGTAGGTAATAAACCACAAATGTTGGCCATTTGGGAATACAACATTTGTGGTTTATTACCTACACAGTTATATGCTATTTTTTTTTTTACTGGCTTTGCAGATTATCCCGTATTGTGTGTATATGTATCATAATTACTCCTTGCCTCAATAAAAAAGATTGACAAAAAAATAGAGAGAGAATGAGAATTATTCTCCAATTCGTCAATTTTTCCAATTTGGCTACTTCTCAGTTCCCACAATAACTCTGTACATGCAGGGTATGAATCTGAAACACTGCGCATACAAACTCCTACAACTAAAGTGGTCACGATGGTCGGAGTAACTAATTCCCACTGCCGCTATTTTGGTGTAAAATGTTAACTTGACTTTGAATTCCCCAAACAATTTTCACTTTAGACAGAAGATTGAATAAAATAAACAGTAGGGACTGGGAGAACTTGTGAAAATAAATGTTAATCGGTGCAAAAAAACAGCCCTGGGTGCTGAGTTTAATTTTTGTTTTACTGCTACACCTACCGAAAGAACATTTTGTACAAAGGTAAATTTTTGTCAGGATCAGTTAAGATTTATTTTAGAAGAAAATGAGTACAACTAGCAATTTTAAGATGTTGAACCAGAATTACTCCATAAAGGCCAATTTCTGGGGGAGAAACCTTAATCTATTGGCATTGTAAGGACTATTGGTAAGTGTCGATAATGATTATATCTTCGCTTCATAGATGACTGAAAGCGCAGTTGGTTTAGATCAGGACATGGGCTTTAACGCATAGCCGCATGAGATGCCAACAAGTTGAGAAGGGGGCAGTGCCCGCCATCTTTAAACTTTACCAGCTGCCATTGGTAAAATCGAAATTATACTGTACATTGTGCTGGTTGAAATCCTTCAAAATTAAAAAATTGGGGGATTTACAGGTATGCCAAAAAATATAGTTCATACGTGATTTTGTGTTCCTGCTATAGGTTTAGCAGTTACAAAAGTGCAACTGACCCAGCACTGTCTGTCGTCTGACAATTTTAATGTTTGTTTTCAGTGGCGAGAGTTTAACACCGAGGTCTACGGAGGATCAGTGAGACTGCGGGACCCTCCATAGACGGATCCTTTTTCTGCTTTAGCTTAATGAAGCAGTTTTGGTGTATAGATCATCCCCCTGCAGTTTTACTGGTCAATTTTCTACCATTTAGGAGTTAAATCACTTTGTTTACAGAGGACTAGTCACACTTCCCTGCATGTGACTTACACAGCCTTTCTGAAAAGAAACCTAGATATTCTAGGTTTCTTTATAGCACAGTGTATTTAATCTAGAATTTATTTTAATTTTATTTTTTTTGAGTGTTGATTTGCAATAACAGTCAATAGTAAATTGTTTTTCGTGATACATGACATATGAACATTTGTCGGAGAATACAGTATTGAACAGCAATGCAATAATTATAGAGAGGTTGTAGAAGTTTCCTGTAAAATAACATTGTCATAAATATCAACAATATGTCCAATAATCTAAGGCCTTATGATCATCGTCCTATATTAGTGGCCTAGTGTCTACGACTTCTTGGTGTTGGTATTGCTATTTGCGGTGGCAATTCTACAATATGAGAGAGATTATAGGTAGGGGGAAGGAGGGGTTTACCAGGTTAGGCATCAGAAGAGCTTGCTTCATTTGCGGAGCAGATGAAGGACAACCAGGGTCCCCAAATTTCTGTGTATTGTATGAGGAAGATCTAAACCTTAAAAACAAAATCTTTATTACTTTAAAAAGGGGTAAGACTGAAAAGCTACTTCTGTGTTTGTAGCAACAAATGAGGCTGTTTGTGCAATACCACTTAAATACTAAACTAAGCTGCAGTTAATACCTTAAATAATAGACTCAAAGGGACTTGCAGCTCACTTGATGGATGTATTTGCTCCTACTTAATCCTTTTCATTAATTATCTACTGGTTCTGAAACAATTTTTGTAAATAATAAGAGGTATATCGCTGCACAATCCCCAAACAGCCAGGTCTAACATACATTAGTCCTCATGGCAGCAAACACTTTGTAAAAGACACTTATACTGATAATTGCCTAAGAGAATTAAAGAGTTACTCCAACCATGATGACCATTTATGGTTTTAGAAGTGTTCATGGAGGATGGGATCTG